GGTTTAAACCCTAAAATTTGTGTGCCTAATTTAATTGAATTAAATGTATTCATTATACTTGATATTTTTAATTGTATTAAGTGTATTCAACGAAATTATATTTTAACACAATATCATAGTCAATTAGCAAATTATTTATTTATGATATGAATGAGACCTTGTAGTTATGTAAGGTTTTCTAGAAAAGTATTACTTTATTAATTTATCGAAGTTATTAATTTAACCTACTAGCCCAAGTCGAGACCATAAGAAATTATTATATAATAGATGTTATTAATTTATCAAGTATTAATTTATAGAGGTTATACTGTAGTAAGTTTAAGTGTTTGTTTAATTGCATTTCAAAGTGCTTATAAAATAAACAACCCTTGGGTGACCTAGTGGTTCAATAGGGAATTTTTGGATGCATTATTCAAGAGGTCCTAAGTTCGAGTCCCTCCTCGATTACTAATAGGGGTGGTCATTGAAGTTGTTACTCGGCCAATAGTTTTAGGGTCTCAGAGAATTACTTGAGCTACATGTAAGCTAGCCCATATGCCCCTAGTCTAAAAAAAAAACAGTGCTTATAAAAATTAAAATAAGTTTTTTTATACATACTAGACTTGAACTTCTCTCCCATATGCTCTTTTTAAACTTATTCACAGTATGAAAATTTCAAAAATGCCCTGTATTATTTTATAAATTTAACTTTATTTGTTCTGGTATATACTAAATTATGATTTGATCATTTAAGTTTATAAAACCCTTTTACATTTTTTCTAACCAAACAATTAACATTTTTTTTTCCTAAGAGTTCCACCATGATAAATTATACTCTTATAAACTTTTCTTCCATAAGTACTACTCAAAGAAGTCAAAATAAACCCTAAATCCAACCACCGCTAGGTGGTCAAGTGGTCATTAGACCCTTGGGTGATTACTCAAGAGGTATTGAATTTGATTCATCTCATCTCATAATAGGGACGACCATTGAAGCTTTTACCTGAACGATAGTTTCAGGGTCATGATAGATTAGTTGAGGCGCGCATAAGTTGGCCTGTATACCCCCAGTTATCAAAGACAAAAAAATAAAAAAAAACCCTAAATCTTTATTTATGTTCACATTTCCCCATAATATGCCATGCTAGATTCCTTGCTTTAAAAACCATTTGGCTTTGAGAATCCATGGGTGCGTTTGTTTCAATATTTCTATCCAATTTATTTATCAAGTATATGTTTTTCGCTTCAACCGGGCGGGTGGTTGAATCGTGCTGCTCCTACTTCTATTGATTGATGTTCGAACCGGCCTTTCCTTTGATAGTCAACAAGCTTTACTTAATAAGATAAGTTAAGTGGATCCCCGTTTCCCAATCCTATTCCCCAAATATTGTTTGGCACATTATTCCAGAAATATTAGTGTATTTTTTTAATTACTTTTAGACTCCTTAAGTTTATTAATTTCATTAAATACCCCCAAAAAAGGTTTAAAAATTAGCAAAAACACCCCCACCCACCCATACTTGCCAGATTCCGATAACCACAGTCGATGGTAGCCTAAATCTGTCACAACAGTGAATAACTGATCGAAACTGGTCGATTATCCACCAATCTGGCCGTCGTTGACCAATCTTGGTTGTCGTTGACCATCAACGACAGCCATTTCTTTGGCCGTCGCTGACAACCAAAGATGCACCTTTGCGGCCGTCATATTTGGCTGTAGATCTGGCCTTTTTCGGCCAGATCCACCAGAAAATGCCATATCGACGCGTTACAACACAGATCCGACCATTTTGCGTCGTAACTCAATTTTTCAGCCAGATTCCGATGGTGGTGGCCGGAATCTGGCATTGCAGGTGGTAGGGGTGTTTTTTTTATTTTATATATTGGGGTGTTTAATTAAATTAGCAAACCTAGGGGTTTTTTTTATAAATTTATAAATTTTATCTCGTAATACTCCCCTATTCAACTACCCAATATTATTCTCAAAATCCTATCCAAAATAATGAACCAAACGCACCCATAATTTCCTTGAACCAAAGAAAGCATTTGGTTCTCAGTAAGGGCTACTATCCACACCTCACCTAAGGTTTCATTTTCCGTCACTTACGCCCCAAAGATATGAAAAATTAGCCCTAACGTCCCTCAATATTTGGAGAACTGTTTAATATCTCCCCTCACTGGCCTTATTTGACAAAGTTCTTCCATTTGGTTTATTTCATAATTTAATCCTATGGAGTTGATTAATATCAAAAACATCTATAGTGTTCTTAAAATATTCAAAACACCCATACCGTTAAAAAGCCTATTTGAAAATTAGAAAGTCCATTTATCCCTTCTCATTTCTTATCAACTTAAAATATATTTTTTTATTTCTCTGACCTTATTGTTTTTATAAAACATTAAAATGGTATGCTAGCTTTCACATAATTTATTATTTATTTATTATTTTATTTTAATTATTTTTGAAGAAAAATACTTAATTCTACCAACAATTCAATTTTTTAATTAATCTTTTTTAATAATTTAATTAAATGTTTGTTAATTTTGTTATATAAATGTGTCATTTTAGGAAAATATAATAGTAAGTCCAAGGTTGATTTTATGGATTTAGATATTTATTGAGTAAGTGATTTAAGAAATTGTTGAGTAAGCCTGATGAGGATTGACGGAGGTGTCAGATAATTCTTCAAAATTGTGAAGGGAGGTCAAGGCAATTTTTCATACCTTTAGGGTGTGAACAATAACCACCAAAACCTTAGGGCAGGTGCGGGATAATAATTCTTTCAATAATATAATACAATGTCAAAACACCTCAAGTACAATTAATTGATTGCCTCTAAATTTGGTTATATATGAGACATATTTGCTACTCCGATGTGGTGAAGGAAAATGTAATGAATTAAATCCTTAAAAGGAAAATATATGAAACTATTTTATTAGGAAATGATGAATTATTTATGAAAATTAATTTTAAATTAAAGATGGTGGACCGTGGAGTTCAACTTAAAATTTTAAAATTACATTAGGGATTGATGTACTTGAAAGATTGATTGATAATTAGTAATTAGTATATAAAATAGCATAATAAGTAAAGGTGGCGAGGGTTGCTCTACTAGTCTTCGCTAAGAATTAGTTGAGGTATGTAAGCTGGCTCGGATATCATGGTTTAGAAAAAAAAAATGATATTATTGGAACCCCCACCTTTTAACTATTTGGTTTTAAGTTTGAAAAGTCTCATTTTACTTAATTTAGATATTTTTTTTTCATAATTTGTAATAACAAGTTATCATTCATGTAAAAATATATAATTAACAAACGAAAAATTCAACACTTATAATCTGACAATGAAAAGGAAAAAAAACTATATATCAAGTGGACTTGTATATTCAGAAATATTCAATAGTATGTTAATTCAACTTTTAGATTATAAACAAACACCAACTTAGTTGACACCATAACTACTTTTTTTTTTTTTTTTCTTATTTACAGTTTTATCTTTTATGAAAATTACTAAATAAGACTCAAATACATTTTATATATGATCCATTAGGAATAAATATTTTGCTATTAATTAAAATTTCTATTTCCTATACCACATCAGAAACCCTAATTTTATTTTTGAAATGATTTTTATTTTTTCTAACTTTCAATTGATTTGCCCATTTATAGAATTTATAAGTTTTTTTTTTTTTTTTAAAGAAAACATATAGGATATCAATATGCACAATTGTTTAATGTTTCATTAATATGTTATATGGAGATGGAAAAAAAGAAAGAAGAATATTATATAAACAAAAAAGAATAGAATATATATATAAGAATCGAAAAAGTATAACATGATAGTAAAAAACATAAAAGGTAAGAGTTATTTTGTAAATAGATGGGGTTTATTTAGACATTTAGATATGTTTATTGCATTTATTAGAAATTGAATTACAATTTATTGCATTTAGTAAAAATAAAAAAATAAAAAATTCTAAATGAATCGTAATTGCGAAATCAACAATTAGATTTAGGTTAAAACAATATTTCATTATCCCCCGCGGCAACGATTGATCCCTGAGCAACCACGAGTATATCGGTTAGCTTCTTCGGCGTCTCTGGGTGGTTGGTTATGGGGGCATTCTGGTTCATATCCAGACTTGCAAGGGTTGTTGGGGGCAGCTTCTTCACCCTCTACATGCTTAATCGCCACCATGCTCAATATTAGTACCACGCATAACATCAACAGCCCCGACTTCCTTTTTAACATTGCCATGCTTCACTTTTGCCTTTCATTGTCATATCATTATTGTTTATATAGATTTTAGAGTTTCTTTAATTTAGTATTTAGTATTTATGTTTAATTAGTCATTTTGTTTTTCAAATCTTTTAACCGTCCACCTGTTTATTTGTTTTGCCAGTAATGTTCTATTGTCTATTATTAGTTTTATTTCCAATCTTTTTGTTGTAATTACAACCACGGGAATTGTAGTTATCCTTAATATTTAAGCAAAAATTTTATATGATAAGATATCCAATTTTAGCCAAATTTTAATATGTTTTAATACAAGTTCACGAAATAATTGAACAAAGCATTGCCAATTATATAATTAAAAAAATATATATATCACTTTTTGATGCATAAAAATAAATTAATTAAATTGATCTAACTAGGTAAATACTACCGTTAAAAACATGATATTTTGCATTTATTTAATTTCAGGTATTTTGAAATATTTTGATATCACCACCACTTAGAATTTTAAAATTGTAAAGAAACAAATGGCTGCAATCTAACCATTAGTAATGATCCAAGTGTTAACAATAACAGCTCAGCCGTTGATTGCAAATTCCTTCTCCACATTGACTAGTTTTTGATTGGGTGTAATGTTTCCATATGCGCACCCCCATTCTCATCTTGTGGTCTCAATTTTTAGATTAATGTTTCACCTAATACGCGAAAACAAATCAGTGATTAGGAGATATTTATCATTCCTAATTGACGGCGCGAAGGACAAGTAAAGGAAAGATTCCTTTCGTCTTTCTCTGACTATAAACATTTGATCCAAACACATCAACCATTTCAATTTCTCAATCTCTGTTTTCATCAATTACGTTTACATCTTTCAATATGGCTGAAGCGCTTGTGGAGATTGTGTTGGAACAAGTTGTTTCAATCATTCGTCAACAGGCGGAAGAAGGGATAAGGCTGATTGCAGGTGCTGAGCAAGAAGTTGAGAAGCTTCAGAGCAATTTCATGGCCATTCAAGCTGTGCTTACTGATGCTGAGAACCGACAGGTGAAGGAGAACACTGTGAGAGTTTGGTTAGACAAGCTGAAAGACGTGTCTTATGAAATAGATGATGTGCTGGACGAGTGGAACACCAAGCTTCAGATATTGAAGATTAAGAAAGCTGAAGATGCATTTAATCCTATGAAAAAGGTACGTTTCTTCATTCTTCACTATCTCGGTTGTAGGCCATTGATTAGGCGTTATGACATCGGCGTCAAGATAAAAGATCTTCGTAGACAACTAGATATTATAGCTGAGGAGAAAGAGTTGTTCCACTTTAGATCAATCACAGACGGTAACAAAGAAATAGAACGACCAATGACATCCTCTGTTGTTGATTTAACAGAGGTTTATGGAAGAGATGATGATAAGAATACAATAATAGATTTTTTGCTTACTCAGAGTAGTCATGCACAAGACCTCCGCATTATCTCTATATTAGGGATGGGAGGAATTGGTAAGACTACTCTTGCTCGATTAGTTTTTAACAATGATCAGGTGAACACCCATTTTGAAGAAAAAATATGGGTGTGTGTTTCCGAGCCTTTTGATGAGCTTAGGATTGCCAAAGCAATCCTTGAATCTCTTACAAATAGTGCACCAAACTTAAATGAGTTAGAAACTGTGTTGCGAAACATACGTCAACATATCGACGGAAGGAAGTTTCTTCTTGTTCTAGATGATATATGGACTGAAAATCCCAAACATTGGGATCAATTAAAGCACTCTCTTAAGTGTGGTTCTCCTGAAAGTAGAATTTTGTTGACCACACGTAAGGAGAACGTTGCAAATGTCATAGGAACCACCAAAATAATCCCACTGGGGACATTATCTGAGGAAAAATGTTGGTCATTGTTTAGTAAAGTTGCATTTTCAGGAAAAAGCAATGAAGAAGCTAATGAATTGGTAGAAATTGGTAGGAAAATTGTTCAAAAGTGTAAGGGGTTGCCACTTGTAGTAAAAACTTTAGCGAGTCTTTTGTGTTTTAAAAGAAAATTTGTCGAGTGGAAAAATATCTTAGAGAGTGAAATTTGGGCATTAGAAGAGGTAGAACAAGAGGTTTTTCGACCTCTACTATTAAGTTATTATGATTTATCCCCTACTTTGAAAAAATGTTTCTCATATTGTGCCATTTTTCCAAAGGATTACGAGATAGAGAAAGAAAAATTGATTAGGTTATGGATGGCTCAAGGTTATGTAAAGTCAAAACCAAATAAGGACATGGAGTTAGTTGGTGAAGAGTATTTTGAGACCTTAGCAATGCGTTCTTTCTTTCAAGATTTTAAACAATATGATTTCGCTATTGATATAAGTTCTTGCAAGATGCATGATATAGTACATGATTTTGCTCAATTTCTTACCCAAAATGAATGTTGTACAATAGAGGTTGATGATACGAGAGAAATTGAATTAGAATTTTCTTATCATAAATTTAGACATTCAATGATAAAGATTCAAGGAGAGGCCTCATTTCCTAGCTCTAATTATACTAGAAATACTTTTCTACGAAGCCTTGTGGTTGATGTTAATTTCGATAATGACCCTAAGATAGTCTTGTCAAAATTGATTCATCAGTTGACATGTTTAAGGTCATTTTGTTTGAAAAGGTGCTCAATCAAAGAAATTCCTGTAGAAATAAAAAAATTAATACACTTGAGGTACCTTGATTTGTCAAGCAATAGAGGCATAAAAGAAATGCCGGAGACATTGTGTGGGTTATATAATCTACAAACCTTAGACATAAGATTTTGTGGAAATGTCAAAAAACTACCTCAAGGGATTGGAAACTTAATTAGCTTGAGATATTTTATTAATTGGGGGACTCATATAAGTTATATGCCAAAAAGTTTGGAGCGATTAACTGATCTACGAACATTAGAAGATTTTGTTATAAGTGAGGACAGTTATGGTAGCAAAGCATGTTCTGTTGAATGTTTAAAAAGCTTCAATCACCTTCAAGAGTTAGGTATAAAAGGGTTGGGAAATTTGAGAGCTGTGGATGAGGTTAAGGGAATAGAATTGAACAATAAGAAAAACTTGCGTCATTTGTATGTAGACTTTGAGGGGAGGATGAATGAGGAGCAAAATCAAGAACTTCTTGAAGAGTTGCAACCACATCCAAATTTAGAGATATTAAGGCTACGAAATTACAGTGGCAACACTATTTTCCCTAATTGGATGATGTCATTCACCAATTTCAGAAAGTTAATTCTTTGGAAATGTATAAACTGTAAGCATCTGCCTCCTCTAGGTAAGTTGTCATCCCTTGAAATTCTTCAAATTTGGGGATTGAAGAGTGTGAAAAGAGTGAGTAATGAGTTTCTGGGAATAGAGAGTGATGCCATGTCATCATCTACATCAATTATTGCGTTTCCCAAATTAAAATATCTTGAGTTTGAGGATATGATAGAATGGGAAGAGTGGAACTACCAGATAACAGAGAGAAGAGATAAAGATATTACAGTCATGCCATCTCTTCAGACCTTGAAACTTGAAGTCTGCCACAAATTGAAGTCTCTACCAAACCACCTTCATCAGATGACAACATTGAAGAAGAAATTGATAGGTTGTCCTCTTCTCGAAAGACAGGGAACCGATAACTGATCGTCATCTTTGTCTGATACTGATTAAGTGCTCTCAAATTATCAACTTCAACACTGATTTTCCTTCAAACCACAGGTAATTTCATCTCTTTTCCCTTTTAATCAGTTTTTAATTACATTCTTTATTTTTATTTTCATGTGAATAACTCACATCTTTTAATTATCAATCACCATTTTTGTACTCCTTAATTATCTTCCTAAATCTAAGTTAATGATCGGTTTGCACTGATATTCTATGTATTTCTATGAATGAAGCAAATTCATTTTGTCAAAATAATAGGATTTGAACCAATGTCGGGTCTCTGTTGAAGTGAAGAACATAACAACAACATCTCTACTAGAATCAGAAATGGGCGGTCGATCTATTCCTGAAAGAACTTCACTGAATTGAGATCTCCTCCAGTTTTGACCAACATCTCTCAAGTCTTAATTTCAACTTTGATTCTGCGTATTTACAATTGTGATCAATCCACAGGTAATTTCTAATCTGGTAACCTGTTAGCTTCATTTTTATGATGAATAGATTTTGGATGAGATTCTTGTGAAAAGGCAACATTTTATAACTTCTTGATTAAATAATTAAAGCACTAAGTACGTCACAACATGGGTAAGATACAAATAATTTTGCAACAAAAAGTCGTAATGTTATTCAAAAATCAGTTTTAACATCCCCTGCACTTCTTCTGTACGGAATTTTTAACTTCATAATCTAGTCTTACAACCTATTTTCAAGAGAATTTTGATCATTTTTACTTCATTTTCATTGATGTGACTTTGTGTTGTTCTTTTAAAGTAATATCATGCTAAACTTTTGTTTTGTTTTCAAGCTGCTGCAACTAGGAAATCCTACACTGCTGACATCTTGTGAAACAAGTGCTGAATATTAGGCACCACTACAGTTTTAAGCAATTGCGATGTTTTGTTGTTGGATGTGAATTGGACACGGTAATCTGGCCATAGGGAATCTTATATAATCTTGAATCTATAACTTTGTAATAAATTATTACTCAAAAATCAACTTTTATTTCTTTTCTTTTCAAGATGCAACAAACAGCCATGACATCTTGTGAAGAAATGTTTAATATCAAGCACCATTACAAAGTGAAAAGGCTCCATTAGTTCACCATATTGGTTTCTGCTAGCAACTGTTACTTTATGACGAAGCATACGAAGCACAAGGGCGAGGAAATTGGCTGTAGGACATCTTATATGATTTTGTATCCTGACTTGTACATTTCAATCATTCTTGCTAGTTATATTGTGAGAAGGGAAGATACTAGTTTCTCAGCTGAGCTAGTGTTCTCTGGCATACAGGATAAAGAATATCAAGAGGCAACCAGCTGGTGATACTTTAAGAAACATGTGTTCTTGGCTTCTTTGTTTAGGAGAAATTGGTACTCTAGCAGTGCTTGTTAGTTGCTTAAATTATTAAACATATGACAGACTGACACTTATTAACATATTAGTCTTGTGTTTCTGCAATAGGATTGATTGTGAGATTAGGAATGTAGACCCTGATAAATTTAGTTATATAGTGTTGATTAAGGACATGAAAAAATGTGTGGCTGAGGAGAATGAGGAAGTATACCTTTATCCTAATGAGAAGTTTTGGGTAGAAGCTAGGTTACCTTTGTCTAGGGAGAAATATTTATTACACAATGATCAGGATATAGCCTTTATTTTCCAGCAATATGGGTTGAAAGGGTTAATAGACATTAAGTTGTTTGTTAAAGCAGTATCTGTAAAAAGTATTGAACCCTTACTAGCTTTACTGAGACTGTTATTCCAAATACCAGGACATGTCAGAAAGGATACAAGGTGACCCTACTAGAAATATTTGGCCTTGCTGTTCCAGTATTTGTAATGATGATGTCAAAGGTATAGTAATTTCTCCCGATCTTAGAGCTTACACATATTTGGTCATTTATATGAGTCTGAAGATTTTGGTCTATCAGGTGGCCTTTTACACTCTCATTACATATTTTGCTGCATCGATGGGAACACTCACCTTGGCTACTCATCAAGTTAGCTGTCTCAACCCTTGTATTTTTGGAAACTTAATTTTATTGTTTTTCTCAATAGCCATAAAAGATTACAGCATTAATACTGACAACTTACTGCCACTCAGGTCATGGTTCAAACATTCCTGATGTGTTCAGTGTGGGGTGGGCCTCTGTCTCAAACTGCACAATCATTTATGCCTGAGTTTTTATATGGATTAAAATGGAGCTTGGCAAAGGTTAGTATTGCTCATTTCTATTTGTCATTACAGCCATCCTTTTCTTTAAAATTTAGCTGTATTGAAAGCATGAATAAATGAGAATAGTAATATTTGGAATTGACTGTGAGATTAGGAATTTAGACCTTGATGAATTTAGTTATTAATGTTGATTAAGGACATGAAAAAATGTGTGGCCGAGAAGAATGAGGAAGTATACCTTTATCCTGATGAGAAGTTTAGGATAGAAGTTAGGTTACCTTTGTCTCGGGAGACAGTGATCAGGATATAGCCTTTATTTTCCAGCAATATGAGTTGAAAGGGTTAATAAACATTAAGTTGTTTGTTGAAGCAGTACCTGTAGAAAATATTGAGTCCTTACTAGCTTTGCTGAGACTGCTATTCCGAATACTAGGACATGTCAAAAAGGATACAATGTGACCCTCCTGGAAATATTTGGCCTTGCTGCTCCAGTATTTGTAATGATGATGTCAAAGGTATTTTAATTTCTCCTGATCTTAGAGCTTGCTTATACATTATTGGTTATTTATATGCATCTGAGGATTTTGGTCTATCAGGTGGCCTTTTACACTCATTACATATTTTGCTACGTTGATGGGAACACTCACCTTGGCTGCTCAAGTCTCACTGTGCAACACAATTTTGTCAATCTGAAAGTTGAAGATCTGCAAAAGAATGAGTGGTGTTCTTCCAAGTTCATTTCTTTCAATCAAAACCTCAACCCCACTTCATTTCTGGTAAGTAATCTCTAATTACTCTTTATAACACCATGATTGTAACTTCTACTTTTGAATTATAATTGCTTAAATGGTGTGATGCCAGGTGCTTCTTTGAATCCAGCACATAANTACTAACATATTAGTCTTGTGTTTCTGCAATAGGATTGATTGTGAGATTAGGAATGTAGACCCTGATAAATTTAGTTATATAGTGTTGATTAAGGACATGAAAAAATGTGTGGCCGAGGAGAATGAGGAAGTATACCTTTATCCTAATGAGAAGTTTTGGGTAGAAGCTAGGTTACCTTTGTCTAGGGAGAAATATTTATTACACAATGATCAGGATATAGCCTTTATTTTCCAGCAATATGGGTTGAAAGGGTTAATAGACATTAAGTTGTTTGTTAAAGCAGTACCTGTAAAAAGTATTGAACCCTTACTAGCTTTACTGAGACTGTTATTCCAAATACCAGGACATGTCAGAAAGGATACAAGGTGACCCTACTAGAAATATTTGGCCTTGCTGTTCCAGTATTTGTAATGATGATGTCAAAGGTATAGTAATTTATCCCGATCTTAGAGCTTACTCACACATATTTGGTCATTTATATGAGTCTGAAGATTTTGGTCTATCAGGTGGCCTTTTACACTCTCATTACATATTTTGCTGCATCGATGGGAACACTCACCTTGGCTACTCATCAAGTTAGCTGTCTCAACCCTTGTACTTTTGGAAACTTAATTTTATTGTTTTTCTCAATAGCCATAGAAGATTACAGCATTAATACTGACAACTTACTGCCACTCAGGTCATGGTTCAAACATTCCTCATGTGTTCAGTGTGGGGTGGGCCTCTGTCTCAAACTGCACAATCATTTATGCCTGAGTTTTTATATGGATTAAAATGGAGCTTGGCAAAGGTTAGTATTGCTCATTTCTATTTGTCATTACAGCCATCCTTTTCTTTAAAATTTAGCTGTATTGAAAGCATGAATAAATGAGAATAGTAATATTTGGAATTGACTGTGAGATTAGGAATGTAGACCTTGATGAATTTAGTTATTAATGTTGATTAAGGACATGAAAAAAAATGTGTGGCCGAGAAGAATGAGGAAGTATACCTTTATCCTGATGAGAAGTTTAGGGTAGAAGTTAGGTTACCTTTGTCTCGGTAGACAGTGATCAGGATATAGCCTTTATTTTCCAGCAATATGAGTTGAAAGGGTTAATAAACATTAAGTTGTTTGTTGAAGCAGTACCTGTAGAAAATATTGAGTCCTTACTAGCTTTGCTGAGACTGCTATTCCGAATACTAGGACATGTCAGAGAGGATACAATGTGACCCTCCTGGAAATATTTGGCCTTGCTGCTCCAGTAGTTGTAAGGATGATGTCAAAGGTATTTTAATTTCTCCTGATCTTAGAGCTTGCTCATACATTATTGGTTATTTATGTGCATCTGAGGATTTTGGTCTATCAGGTGGCCTTTTACACTCATTACATATTTTGCTACGTTGATGGGAACACTCACCTTGGCTGCTCAAGTCTCACTGTGCAACACAATTTTGTCAATCTGAAAGTTGAAGATCTGCAAAAGAATGAGTGGTGTTCTTCCAAGTTCATTTCTTTCAATCAAAACCTCAACCCCACTTCATTTCTGGTAAGTAATCTCTAATTACTCTTTATAACACCATGATTGTAACTTCTACTTTTGAATTATAATTGCTTAAATGGTGTGATGCCAGGTGCTTCTTTGAATCCAGCACATAATGTCTTTTGAACATTAGCCCAAGTAATCTATGTGGGAAAGTTCAAGTTTCTAAGCATCAGAGGACTCTTACAGTTAGAGCAGTGTAAGTATGTTCTTATGTTTATAGACATGATTTTCACTTCTTTGATTGTCTTTTTTCTTTCTGGCTTGTTTACGGGCGACCTTTTCCTTTTCTATTCTTGGATAGGCAATTTGTTGCTTCTAGAAATTAAATTAACTCAATGGATTTTGTTTCTTATTACAAGCACAATCATCGACTAGTCCTCTTTTAAGTTCTTGTAAAGGTCTCTTTTTGGTGTTATTAAACAATGGATAGACCCTTCTCTTGTCTTACAGACATCTTTTTCTTAATTAAATTGGTTGCTTTACATTTATACAGTGGGGATGATGGAAGACAAATTAGTGCAAATATCTTCGTTGGTGGCTTTATATTGGGAGGAATAGTTGTTGGGACATTAGGCTGTATATATGCTCCCCAGGTATGAAATGCATGTTTATGTTTTGGTACCACTGAATTTGGTACCTTTTGTGTAAGGTTTATGTTCTTGTTGATAAAAATGAGTTGAGTGGCATCCCTCCTTTGCCTTCTCTATCTGCTATATCTGATTGGCTATTTTGTCATATTTTATCCATCAAATGGCAAAGATTGTTTGTTCAGTTTTTGGTTTAAGATACCAGGTGAATGTTTATATTAACTGGTTGAATAAAAGACTGATGTATGATCCCTCAGCTAGACTTTGATGGACTATTTGCCTACAGTTCACTTGTGGCTTATGGACTATGGCTCGTCCACTGCTCTGAAATTTTATTGACTTGAGTTTGAGTGTGAGATGCATGTCGTTCTCTTTTATATATTTAACTCACCTTGGCTGCTCATCAAGTTAGTTGTATTGAAAACATTCCTAATGTGTTCAGTGTGGGGTGAACCTCTGTCTCAAACCGCACAATCATTTATGCCTGAGCTTTTATATGGAATAAAACGGGGCTTCTCAAGAGTTAGTGCTGCTCATTTCTATTTGTCATTACAGCCATCCTCTTCTTTAAAATTTAGTTCTATTGAAAGCATGAATAAATGAGAGTTTGGTGATTCCATGTGGAATTCATCACCTTCACCTTCCCTTATAGACAATACTTGAAATATAAGTTTTTTTTTGCAACATTTGTTTCCTAGGTGATTTGTTATGTGTTCAATCTTGAATATGAGTAATGATTTTGAACGGGTTCAGATGCTGCTAAAGTCACCTGTAATCATTGGAGGTATTCTTGGATTGTTTTCAGCGGTCGTTGGAACATCTCTACCTTTGTTGTTCCCCAATTTCTTTACACCTGATCAGACGATCGTAAGAGAGGTTAGTTCCTGTTTTAACTTTTTAAGTACATTTCTATTTGCTAGTTATTCATTTGCCACTGCAAATTATGAGTGATTCAAAGGTTTAATAAAGTACAACAATAGGTTCTACTGATCTGTCATGAGTACGCCCTTCCTTTATAAATCTATGTTGAATACAGTCAGAATTGATAGTCTTTTTTATATAAATAGTGATTATAACTGTCTGATTCTGCTAGATATTATGTGTTTGTGCCCATGCTGATGCAGAGTGTTGGTACCATACTTTCTTTGCATTATTGGCGAGTGGCGACGCCCTGCATTCTAAGCCTTAAACAATGTGTTGTCGACTAATTCAGCATAATCGTTGGAAGATTTCTTTAAGTTATTAATTCCTTATTGGGTATAGGCTTAAGAATAAGAATCATTGTAATACTAGGTTTTAGTCATTTAAACCTAATATATAAATATACTTTTCTCTTGTAATGAGTGATAGCAATCATAAGGCATATTCATTCATTGTAAACGAGAGATGTGAGACAGTATTGCGATAATATTAACTTAGTTGGACGTAGCCTGTTAATTAGGTGAACCAGGGTAAAATCGCACGTACTTCTTCTTTTTTTTACTGTTTGTAATTTGTGTGTTTATCATTTTAGTTTTGCATCATACCTCTATATCGCTCACAATGCTGGTATGTTTGATTAAGCTCAACCGAATCACTCCAGTAGAAAGAGATCAGTCTTTCAGTTTATTATCGTTGAGGGAGTTGCGCTTAGCTTTTATTCTTAATGAAATATGAACATAAAACTTATGGCTGTCTGCACTCTGCTCTTAAAATCCACACAATACCTATATGTCCATGTATTTAAGTTCAGATTCCAGCATATTATGCTTTATCTGTTTATTTATGCAGGCTGGACAAGATCTAAAATCTTTTAGCTTATCTGACTGGAATTTCAATGATCTCATCAGCTTTCTAACTTTGCGAGCAACAATACCATGAAGCCTTTGCTGCTTGAGAACAAGTAAGAGTTTGTGACCGAAAAATTTTGCTGTGTGCTTCTCCTTTCTTTGTATCTTTTGAATGTTAAAATTTGCTCCCACATGACAGCATATATATAGAATAGAAGAAACCTTTTATATCAAAATCTTGACTCTATAACCTATTTATCTATACTTTCACTAGGATGAAATTCTTTTGCTATATTGAATTTCCTATTTTTATTGGGTTTGAATTGGCAAAATATTTTAAATTTTGGATGCACATGTTATTTTACAATCTGGATTCTTACTTAACGATTCTAGTAAACGCTAATACTCGGTTTAGGGTTGAAGAAGATGGTCAAATTCCTATACAAAGAAAGTAATTTAAAATATTAATTTGATAAAAAATAACTGGAGGGATAAATTGGTAATTCATATATAGTTGAGGGTATATTAGTAATTTTATATTTAAAAAGAGGATATATATATAACTAATTCTATTGATATGACATGAAATCATTAAAATATTTATTAAGTCAAATAATAAAAGATATTTTGTCTTTATAATTAATGTTAATTAACAAATTTTCTCCAAATTTTTGGGTGGGAAATTGTCATTCCCTCTTATTTTTGGAAATTACTGCACTTTGTAATCTACATTTTCTTTAGAGTAATGCTAACTTTACTTATTTCTCTTATTCACTTTTGTTAAATATAACGCATAGTACGGGTACTATATGTCATTTTAACAAAAGTGAGTAAGAGAAAGTGAGTAAGAGAAGTGAGTAAGGATAGCATTTTTCTTTTGTATATTCAATATTTATAAATTTTGTTGTCCCAACTCCCACGTCACCAAATGCAATAAACTTTTGCCCTTTTACCTTCTTCCTTTTTTATTAAATTTTAATTTTTAGATTATTTTATATTATCGTATTATAATAAGAAAAAATATGGAAGTTAACGATATCCCTATTAATTAAGGATAGTATGTTAAATAATACTAACACTCGATGCTATATTAATTTATTTAATATATCATAGTGGAATTATATTACAATTAATTTTATAAAAATGTTAGCATATCAAAGGATGAAATTAAAAATAGTAACACTATGAATCTATGATACGAGTAGTAATATTTTACAAATTTATACCTCTAAGGCTCTAAATTTAATTTTTACATGTTATAAATATGCTAGATTTTCCCAATATAAAAGATAGTCACCTAAATATTTGTCACAGTTGTATAAAAATTGCTTAGTGTGGACTGGAGAGTGAAGTGTGGACTGTGAAGATCGCGGAGCTTGGAGAGTGGAGTCTGCTCATGGTGGGACAATGGCGTGACTGCCTGACTAGAGAGTAGAGTCTGCTGGAGTGCTGGGTGCTGACAAATGTGCGAACTGCGCAAGAAATGAAAAATGAAGATGGAGTGGTGATTGGACAGTGGAGTGACTGATGAAGATTGAAGAGTGGAGTACTGGAGTCAGCTCAGTAGCTCACGATGTGGATAGAGTAGCTCACAGTGTGAAAGACTGGAACTGGAAGTGTGGAGATTTCAGATTTGGAGGTGAAGAAGAGTCTGAACTCTGAAGAGCAATAGAGAGCGAAAAATTTTTTTTGCTTTTATAGTTAGGGTAAAACCGATTTTTGGTTAACCGGTTTGGAATATTTTTCAAACCGAACCGGTTTTTCGATTTTTTTAATTTTACAAACCGAAAACAGAACCGATTTGTTAAAAAACCTAATTTTCAGCTCGGTTTCAGATCAATTACCAGTTCAATTCGGTTTTCATATTTTTTATCCCACCCATACTATAAATTACATCCTAATTTCCAATTTATTTTTTATATTCATCAAAAAAATAAAAAATCAAGAAGGGACTAAAAATGGGTTGTATAAATCATATTACATAAACTTTGATATTGAATTCGCCTATAAAACGCGGCTAGTGTTACAAATTACAGGAGTTTGAAGTAACCAAATTGAACAAGAACAATCCCTATAAGTCTATAACTAGCAGCTGGATTCTAGAAAATAAACACACTAAAACCAGCAAAAAATTTGTGAAAAGGCAAGAACCCAGAAAAGAATTACAATGAACAATAAAAAGAATTGGCCAAATTGATATTTGCTTCATGGGATATTCTATTATAATTACAAATTGGACTAGAGAAAGCCATGTATATGCACAAGTTTTGCAGGACTTCATCATCCTTGGAGGTGTCAATGAGGACTATAGTGGCTCGTTCGTTCGTTTTCATTCTGATCGTTGTAATAAGAATGTGAAGCTTGAATTTTCACGTATTAGAGGTGGAGGGTCAATGTCGGCTATCTCTATTTGTTCTATCGACTTGGAAATATCGTCCACCGTGAATGGGATGCTGCATATTTTTGAAAAAAGAAAATTATTAAAAGAGGCGTGTTCTTGGTTTACAGCCATAGAAATGCATAAGATCAGGAATTTTGGTATTAAACATATATAATTGTTGAAAAATGTTACCTTGAGTCGTCGTCCAGTAAAAAGGAACTGCTGACAGCATTGTTTGAGTCCTCAGTCATCATCACTCTCATAGTTGAGATAACCTGCAATTAGAGAAGATTCTTTCAGTGAAACATGAAGTACAGGGTTCCCGATTCGAAAAGCAACGAGGAAATAGAGAATGCGCAACTCATGATTAGGAATCTGACTTACATCCGAAGATACGCTGTGTGTACCATATTTGTCATCCCAGTACATTGTACTGATCCTGTAAAGTTGCTGTATGCTAAGAACCTGAAAGAATCACAATTGAGAGAGCATAAGAACAAACGACAGCACATACATGCACACAAACAGACACAGGCAGAAAGGGGATAAGTTCAAAGAACAGAGAAGTAACTCACCGGGCAAAGATCATTTGTTATTTCTTTCAATGTCTTCTTGGGCTTCTGATGAATGACCTGGTTTGGCAAAGTATTTGGAACAACGAATAAAGGTTAATAAGCAATACCGAGGGAAATGATATCTGCATTTCATTAAGATGAGGTAAATAGACAAACCAGAAAGCCGACTGCTTGTCTAATATGCCTTAGCTCATCCCATGCTGACCCTGCAAACTGAATGTACAACAGATATGTCAGTTCCTGATACACAGAGACAAAGAAAGACTACAAGTTATAACTGAGTTCACCTCCTCCGTTGCTTCATGGTACCACTGTTCCAGCTCAGCCAGCCCAGCTTTAACATACTCCCCATTGCTAAATGAGCAACATTCACGACGTAGAAGAAGACTGCAGATAAAATTTGAACGCAATTTTATAGTGTTTAAATTTATATTGAAGCAGTGTTATGAGAGTAAGAACTTGGATTTTCCGTGTCTTTACCTGTTAAACAATTGGACATTGATAAATGAGAATATTTGTGTAAAAACCTTGCGAACTAGGAATGAAGGAACCTGTCCAGTCATATGAGAAGAGAGTGATGATATAAACAGGAAAGAAAAACCTTTTGACAATCCTTTTGAAATTTATACTCACATAGTTTGCTCTCATTATCTTCAAGTAATTATTTAGGCTTTTCACAATGCTTTGCCAGTGTGCAATCAGAGCCTGTTGAGCTACAGCATTAGCTTGGGCACGTCTATTCACTAAACTAGCCCGTGATGTCCTAGGTGCCTGCATTGGAATTTATGAACCATGAATATATCATACATATGTTGCATTACCAAGCAAGAGATAAAACAAGCAATCCAAACAAAATAGGAACTCAACAGATTCAATCATATTATCATGATCAAAAGTAAAAGACAAAAGATATATAAGTTACCTGGATACACAATCCAAGCAATGGGGATATTTCTTTTTTCAAATTGTCTCTTATCATTCCATATATCTTCTCAAGGAAGGCTGTGAGTTGTTGTTTAAAAAGCAAAGCTGGATACTTCGCTTCAACTTGTCGCAAGTCATCTATTCCACCAAGCATACGACTTTGAAGGAATGAGAAACCAGCACTTTGTGGAGAAGCTCGAAATCCCTTTACAAAAAAATATAAGTAAGCTGAACTGAAAAGATGAGGTACATGTAAATATAAAAACTACAAATAAAAAATAGCTCTTACTTGAGACATTCTTCCAAGTAGAGAAGTTGTTGTTGATCGCCGTCGCTGTGGAGTTAAGCTTGCTGCTCCACTTGCTTTCAACGTGCGTTGAAGTAGCAACAGCAGTGTGGATGAGTTTGATAACCAATAGGACAATTTGTCATTGTTATCTTGGACCTTGGGTAGGGCAATAACATCAAACATCAATAAAAATTCACATATTAAATCATTATAGAAACATATATAATCAACTATGTCATTAATTAGCTACCTTGAAAATACATAACTCAGTTAAACAAGGCTAATTTCGTCAGATTTAATATGAAAAATTGACGAGTTAGTTACATGCTTCATAAACAAGACCAGAATTAGACTTACATCTATTGCAGCACTTATTGTTTGAATAATACGGTCAAAGACACTGGTTCTATCAACCTCAAATGACCTCCAATGAAGAAGGCACTTATATATCAGACAAGCAGCAACAGGCTTTCCCCCAGAGAACCCAAGATCTTGTGAAACACATTTAATAAGAAGGTCCTGATTCTCCTGCAACAGGAAAGAAGATCATATGAGAACACATGATGCACGTGAATCATGCCTGTATAGAATTTTGATACTGATGATAACTGGTGCATACCTGTTGCTTCTCATTAAGAGATTTTTGGGGCTTTTCTTCAGTTTCCACTTCCCGTAGACTAGATACAGCAAGTACTGAATCCTGCTATATCCAGGAAGAGTTGGTAAGAAGTTTCATTGTCTTTTCATATTGGAATCTAAGATAAACCAGAAGTGATGTATAGCTCTTACCGGCAATTTCCTCATTTCTCCATTTAGCACATTTCCATTCTCAGTTCTCTGCAATTCAAAAATAAAAGTCAACATATATTTTCATAAACATATGTTAACTTGATGCGCAGCAAAATATGCAATATATACCTGAATGATTGTTGTTTTTGGCCTTGCACTTAATGCTCTACCAGTTGGTGATATCGCAAGTGCTTGTTGGCGGAGTACTTGATTCTCTGATTCCAAATTAGAAACCTTCTCTGCTAGTCTGCATCACCAAAAGAAAATAGTTAACGGGTTTGAAACATGTCAAACTAAGGCTCAATAACAAGCCCAATCTGGAAAGCATATAATTTACAGAATGCATAGACAACATAGGTTTTTGCAGAGAATATTAACATCCTCCAAACAAACATGGATCAGCATTATAATTCTCATGTGTTTTAGGTCACCGTGTTTTCTCCAAATCTAAGTGATGTAGGAGGTGCTGGCATAAATCTGACAGACTATTCAGTTTTTTTTCTTCCAGTAGTATGGTTAGTCACATCTAGAAGAGATAGAAGAGGAGATCGAGACAACTGAAAAGTAGATTGCAGTAAATATAATTTGATATGAAGCTGAAGGGCATAGCTTTAAACTTTTAAATTCCTTCCCCGGGTATCTGTTTATCTGTTTACAAACCTCTGTGTTGAATCCTGAAGATGGTCAACTTTCTTCTCTGAATCTTCAAGCTTCTTGATTAGTTCCTTATTTTTCACCTCAGCAGCTGCATGAGCTTGTTTTGCCTCTTCTGCTGCTTGTGTTTTCGATCGCAGCAAAGCCTGTACATGTGAAAATGTTCATTAGATCCATGACTTCACTTTTTTGTCCTTCCAGCAAATTGTTCAGTGCACTACAAACTGTCTTCAACAATTATTCTCTAATACTATTAGTTTCAAACCCTTGATGCTCCCAGCAAACATTCAAGTATGAAATTTGGTTCTAAATAGCTTATGCATACATATTTGCTCAGCATACAGCATCAATACCAAGACTTGTCTCACATACTTGCACAATAATCCAATATAACCACAGAAAACAATTAAGATATCCACAGCAGCATGATGGTCTGTATCAACCTTTTATAAAATTAATGCACCATGAAATAAAATTCTTGCTATATATGTAAGCTATACTTTCTGATAATCCCACCAACTTAGTAGGTCTACCTTCAGGTTTTCAACTTCAGCTGTTAATGAATTAATCTTTTCAGTATCTTGAACTATAACAGGGGTTTCTTTAATGACAGGAGGAGCTTCCTTAATGGCTTTTCGAGCCGCCTCTCGTTCTTTGATAACCATAGCATTAGCCTCTTCAACTTTAGATTGCATAGCATGCAATGCATCCTGCAACTTAGCCATTTCTTGGGCTTTTGCTTCCTCAAGATCAGTCTGCCGGAATACAGCAAAATGGAATTAGAATGCTAACCCTTGAGAATTGTGTATAAAAAAGAATGTAAGTATCAGGAGAATCATAATACCCTTAATCGCTTTTCAATTTGCAAACGCCAGGTAAGTTCCTCCACACGCTTTTCGAGCTTATCCTTTGCTTCCTTAAGAGCTCCTGTCTCTCTAGCAGCCTAAGTAAATGTCAAGGAAAAGATAGCATTAGTTCTTGTTCTCTCGTTTACAACCACAAATAGCATCAAAAAGTTGTGACAAGTACAAAACAACACTAAGCATTAAAATCCAACCATTTTAAGCATTCTGAGCTCTCTTCTGGCAACCCTACACCTCCAGCCACACTGAGAAACAATAATTGCTCTCTGAAGTCTCTTATAATAAGAATAAGTTTGGTGACAACGCCAGTGAGCCTGTTAATGAACAGCACATAATAAACTAAGATTCAGTAATTGTATTTCACAAATCAAAACAAGGAGTTAAATCTTATTTTGAGAACAAGAAATGTTAACTACTTGTAAGGTGAGTTGCACACCATTAAAAAGAATAATAAATGCATGAATAAATGGTCAAGTTACAGAACACTGATGATACCTGGATAATGATAGCAGCTTTAGTTTGCCTCCTAAACCTAAACTCATTGCGTGCAACCATTGCTCTTAAGCCTGTCTGCAATGTTATTGCAGCTGACCTAACTGTTAAATATGACGTCCTGGCAACATATAGCCGGAAATTCTTCTGGATCTTCAGAGCGGCAGCTTCCCGTCGCAACTGTTCATACAGTTTACGAGCCGTTTCACCTACAAATTGTGAGACATAGTATATCTTACATTACTCAAAGGTATTAACATAATCTCCAGTTAAGAATCCATACAGAAATACAAGATGCAACTTCCACTCAATTGAGTAATAACAAACACATTTTGTCATTGAGATACCATATCTCTAGCAATAACAAGTTGAAGTGGAACTGAATAATCATTTGAGGCAGATAAATTTAACAGAATCCAAAATAAAATACCTCGCAGATAAGATTGCAACATAATAGCAGCATTACGCAATGAGATGAACTCTCGGCGAGCAATATAGGTACGGGATTGCCGTTGAATGGTTCTGGCTGCATTACCCAGCACCTCTGCCCTCCTAGCATCCAACTCAGCCATCTGACCAGCTCTCAGGAAAACCTTTGCTTTACCTATCTGCAAAGCATGCATGCATAAAGACCATCAGTAACACAGAGTAAAGAAAAAGACCTTGTTTTTTTTGGTAAATAAGCAAAACAAGAAATATAAGAACTTTATAAAAGGAATTATAATTAAATAATATTGAAAGTAGTAACCAGCATTCAACAAAAATATCATAAATACAGCACTAGCAAATTAAGGAATAACGAAAAAGTTAAAAGGAAAAGTGTGATCACCTGGTATCCTTTGAGTCCTTTTTTATCAAGAATCATCTGGCATGCAACCTTATCATCATAGCTGTATCAAAGGGAAAAAAGTACATGAAAACCTAATTAATATCAAGCAATTTAAAAATGGGCAACAAACAATTTTTTTACTTTTATCATCATGGAAAAATCAGAAGAAATTATGATACTACTAAGACTTACTTTCCCTCCAAAACTTCAGGAGCAAGTAAACCAAAACGATTCAGGAACTCATAAAAGGTACGCCTGGTAGGATATCCTGCACAACTGATCCTAATTGCCTCAAGAACACCCTAAAAAGTATAAGGGAAAACCAATTTACTTTAAGAAATGAGAAAAGCTATAAATTTTAACAAGCAAAATAAAACTAAGTCTCATAAAAGGTTTGGCAAGTTATTATAAAGCACTAAAAGGCAAGCATTAAGCACAATATACTCACACCACAGCGTAATTGTTGAATGACATTGAAATTCTCAAAAATAGCAGGCTTTAGAACATTATTTGGCTTTACACATCTGATGTAGTGAGGTTCCGTCGCACTCAAGGTCTCCATCAGAGATTGAAGTTGTAACTGCAGTTTAGACAACCTTGGGTGTACCATATTTGTCATCCCAGACATTGTACTGATCCTGTAAAGTTGCTGTATGCTAAGAACCTGAAAGAATCACAATTGAGAGAGCATAAGAACAAACGACAGCACATACATGCACCACAAACAGACACAGGCAGAAAGGGATAAGTTCAAAGAATAGAGAAGTAACTCACCGGGCAAAGATCATTTGTTATTTCTTCAATGTCTTCTTGGGCTTCTGATGAATGACCTGGTTTGGCAAAGTATTTGGAACAACGAATAAAGGTTAATAAGCAATACGAGGGAAATGATTCTGCCTTTCATTAAGATGAGGTAAATAGACAAACCAGAAAGCCGACTGCTTGTCTAATATGCCTTAGCTCATCCCATGCTGTCCCTGCAAACTGAATGTACAACAGATATGTCAGTTTTGATACACAGAGACAAAGAAAACTACAAGTTATAACTGAGTTCACCTCCTCCGTTGCTTCATGGTACCACTGTTCCAGGCAGCCAGCCCAGCTTTAACATCATCCATTGCTAAATGAGCAACATTCACGACGTAGAAGAAGACTGCAGATAAAATTGAACGCAATTTTATAGTGTTTAAATTTATATTGAAGCAGTGTTATGAGAGTAAGAACTTGGATTTTCCGTGTCTTTACGTTAAACAATTGGACATTGATAAATGAGAATATTTGTGTAAAGACCTTGGAACTAGGAATGAAGGAACCTGTCCAGTCATATGAGAAGAGAGTGATGATATAAACAGGAAAGAAAAACCTTTTGACAATCCTTTTGAAATTTATACTCACATAGTTTGCTCTCATTATCTTCAAGTAATTATTTAGGCTTTCACAATGCTTTGCCAGTGTGCAACAGAGCCTGTTGAGCACAGCATTAGCTTGGGCACGTCTATTCACTAAACTAGCCCGTGATGTCCTAGGTGCCTGCATTGGAATTTATGAACCATGAATATATCATACATAGTTGCATTACCAAGCAGAGATAAAACAAGCAATCCAAACAAAATAGGAACTCAACAGATTCAATCATATTATCATGATCAAAAGTAAAAGACAAAAGATATATAAGTTACCTGGATACACAATCCAAGCAATGGGGATATTTCTTTTTTCAAATTGTCTCTTATCATTCCATATACTTCTCAAGGAAGGCTGTGAGTTGTTGTTTAAAAAGCAAAGCTGGATACTTCGCTTCAACTTGTCGCAAGTCATCTATTCCACCAAGCATACGACTTTGAGAGGAATGAGAAACCAGCACTTTGTGGAGAAGCTCGAAATCCCTTTAGAAAAAAATAACTAAGATGAGGTACATGTAAATAAAAAACTACAAATAAAAATAGCTCTTAATTGAGACATTCTTCCAAGTAGAGAAGTAGTTGTGATCGGCGTCGCGTGGAGTTAAGCTTGCTGCTCCACTTGCTTTCAACGTGGTTGAAGTAGCAACAGCAGTGTGGATGAGTTTGATAACCAATAGGACAATTTGTCATTGTTATCTTGGACCTTGGGCAGGGCAATAACATCAAACATCAATAAAAATTCACATATTAAATCATATAGAAACATAATAATAACTATGTCATTAATTAGCTACCTTGAAAATACATAACTCAGTTAAACAAGGCTAATTCGTCAGATTTAATATGAAAAATTGACGAGTTAGTTACATGCTTCATAAACAAGACCAGAATTAGACTTACATCTATTGCAGCACTTATTGTTTGAATAACGGTCAAAGACACTGGTTCTATCAACCTCAAATGACCTCCAATGAGAAGGCACTTATATCAGACAAGCAGCAACAGGCTTTCCCCAGAGAACCCAAGATCTTGTGAAACACATTTAATAAGAAGGTCCTGATTCTCTGCAACAGGAAAGAAGATCATATGAGAAAACATGATGCACGTGAATCATGCCTGTATAGAATTTTGATACTGATGATAAATGGTGCATACCTGTTGCTTCTCATTAAGAGATTTTTGGGGCTTTTCTTCAGTTTCCACTTCCCGTAGACTAGATACAGCAAGTACTGAATCCTGCTATATCCAGGAAGAGTTGGTAAGAAGTTTCATTGTCTTTTCATATTGGAATCTAAGAAAACCAGAAGTGATGTATAGCTCTTACGGCAATTTCCTCATTTCTCCATTAGCACATTTCCATTCTCAGTTCTCTGCAATTCAAAATAAAAGTAACATATATTCATAAACATATGTTAACTTGATGCGCAGCAAAATATGCAATATATACCTGAATGATTGTTGTTTTTGGCCTTGCACTTAATGCTTACCAGTTGGTGATATCGCAAGTGCTTGTTGGCGGAGTACTTGATTCTCTGATTCCAAATTAGAAAACTTCTCTGCTAGTCTGCATCACCAAAAGAAAATAGTTAATGGGTTGAAACATGTCAAACTAAGGCTCAATAACACAGCCCAATCTGTAAAGCATATAATTTACAGAATGCATAGACAAACATAGGTTTTTGCAGAGAATATAACATCCTCCAAACAAACATGGATCAGCATTTAATTCTCATGTGTTTTAGGTCACCGTTTTCTCCAAATCTAGTGATGTAGGAGGTGCGGCATAAATCTGACGACTATTCAGTTTTTTTTCTTCCAGTAGTATGGTTAGTCACATCTAGAAGAGATAGAAGAGGAGATCGAGACAACTGAAAAGTAGATTGCAGTAAATATAATTTGATATGAAGCTGAAGGGCATAGCTTTAAACTTTAAATTCCTTCCCGGGTATCTGTTTATCTGTTACAAACCTCTGTGTTGAATCCTGAAGATGGTCAACTTTCTTCTCTGAATCTTCAAGCTTCTGATTAGTTCCTTATTTTCACCTCAGCAGCTGCATGAGCTTGTTTTGCCTCTTCTGCTGCTTGTGTTTTCGATCGCAGCAAAGCCTGTACATGTGAAAATGTTCATTAGATCCATGACTTCAATTTTTTGTCCTTCCAGCAAATTGTTCAGTGCACTACAAACTGTCTTCAACAATATTCTCTAATACTATGTTTCAAACCTTGATGCTCCAGCAAACATCAAGTATGAAATTTGGTTCTAAATAGCTTATGCATACATATTGACAATGATCTCATCAGCTTTCTAACTTTGCGAGCAACAATACCATGAAGCCTTTGCTGCTGGAGAACAAGTAAGAGTTTGTGACCGAAAAATTTTGCTGTGTGCTTCTCCTTTCTTTGTATCTTTTGAATGTTAAAATTTGCTCCCACATGACAGCATATATATAGAGTAGAAGAAACCTTTTATATCAAAATCTTGACTCTATTACCTTATTTATCTGTACTTTCAGTAAGATGAAATTCTTATGCTATATTGAATTTCCTATTTTTATTGGGTTTGAATTGGCAAAATTTTTTAAATTTTGGATGCACCTGTTATTTTACAATCTAGATTCTTATTCACCGATGCTAGTAAACACTAATACTCGATTTAGGGTTGAAGAAGATGTTCAAATACCTATGCAAAGAAAGTGGGTTTTTAATGGTTTCAAATTTTAAAAACTTTTGTTACCGTTACACAGTAATTTAAAATATTAATTTGATTAAAAAAAAAAAAAACTAGAGGGATAAAGTGGTAATTTAGATGTCCATATATAGTTGAGGGTATATCAGTAATTTCATGTTTAAAAAGGGTATATATAGATAACTAATTCTATTGATATGACATGAAATCATTAAAATATTTGTTAAGTCAAATAATAAAATATATTAGTTTAATTAACAAATTTTCTCCAAATTTTTGGGGTGCGAAAACGTAATTACGCTAAACCTTGCGTGGGAAATTGTCATTCCTTCTTATTTTTGGAAATTAATGCACTTTGTACTCTATATTTTCCTTATTCATTATTTACAAATTTTGTTGTCCCATGTCACCAAATGCAATAAACTTTTGTCCTTTTACCTTATTCCTTTTTTTTTTTAATTTTAATTTTTAGATTATTTTATATTATGGTATTATAAATATAATAAGGAAAAATATGGAAGTTAACGATATCCCTATTTAAGGATAGTATGTAAAGTAATACTAACACTCAATGCTATATTAAGATCTTTATTTAATATATCATAGTCGAATTATATTACAATTAATTTCATAACAATGTTAGCATATCAAAGGATGAAATTGAAAATAGTATTACTATGATATGAGTAGTAATATTTTACAAATTTATACCTTGTTTTAACCATTGTTTTAAAATCCAAACCAGAGGGCAACCTGTTTTACTGTCAAGGTCACACGTTAACCGATCCAACCGGTTGGACCAATGATGTCAGCGATAATTTTATTTTTAAAACCTTACATATTAATCCCTCAAATTTTAATATATTACAAAAATTCTCCTAAAAAAGTTCAAAGTAGTCCCTAAATTTTTTATTTATTAAAAATACCCCAAAAAATTACCAATTAATCCTTAAACTTTTAACATATCTCCAAAACACCCCTATAAAATTCAATGAACCCTTATAATTTTGAAATATTACAAAACCCCCCTAAAACCTGAACCAGACCCAAGAAGCTGTCGGATCCCGGTCGAACCAGCCGGTCCAGTTTTTAAAACAGAGGTTCTAACTTCAAAATTTAATTTTTACATGTTATAAATATGCTAGATTTTCCCAATATAAAAGATAGTCACCTAAATATTTGTCACAGTTGTATAAATTACATCCTAATTTCCAATTTATTTTTGATATTCATCAAAAAAATAAAAAATAAGAAGGGACTAAAAATGGGTTGTATAAATCATATTACATAAACTTTGATATTGAATTCGCCTATAAAACGCGGCTACTGTTACAAATTACAAGAGTTTGAAGTAACCAAATTGAACAAGAACAATCCCTATAAGTCTATAACTAGCAGCTGGATTCTAGAAAATAAACACACTAAAACCAGCAAAAAATTTGTGAAAAGGCAAGAACCCAGAAAAGAATAACAATGAACAATAAAAAGAATTGGCCAAATTGATATTTGCTTCATGGGATATTCTATTATAATTACAAATTGGACTAGAGAAAGCCATGTATATGCACAAGTTTTGCAGGACTTCATCATCCTTGGAGGTGTCAATGAGGACTATAGTGGCTCGTTCGTTCGTTTTCATTCTGATCGTTGTAATAAGAATGTGAAGCTTGAATTTTCACGTATTAGAGGTGGAGGGTCAATGTCGGCTATCTCTATTTGTTCTATCGACTTGGAAATATCGTCCACCGTGAATGGGATGCTGCATATTTTTGAAAAAAGAAAATTATTAAAAGAGGCGTGTTCTTGGTTTACAGCCATAGAAATGCATAAGATCAGGAATTTTGGTATTAAACATATATAATTGTTGAAAAATGTTACCTTGAGTCGTCGTCCAGTAAAAAGGAACTGCTGACAGCATTGTTTGAGTCCTCAGTCATCATCACTCTCATAGTTGAGATAACCTGCAATTAGAGAAGATTCTTTCAGTGAAACATGAAGTACAGGGTTCCCGATTCGAAAAGCAACGAGGAAATAGAGAATGCGCAACTCATGATTAGGAATCTGACTTACATCCGAAGATACGCTGTGTGTACCATATTTGTCATCCCAGTACATTGTACTGATCCTGTAAAGTTGCTGTATGCTAAGAACCTGAAAGAATCACAATTGAGAGAGCATAAGAACAAACGACAGCACATACATGCACACAAACAGACACAGGCAGAAAGGGGATAAGTTCAAAGAACAGAGAAGTAACTCACCGGGCAAAGATCATTTGTTATTTCTTTCAATGTCTTCTTGGGCTTCTGATGAATGACCTGGTTTGGCAAAGTATTTGGAACAACGAATAAAGGTTAATAAGCAATACCGAGGGAAATGATATCTGCATTTCATTAAGATGAGGTAAATAGACAAACCAGAAAGCCGACTGCTTGTCTAATATGCCTTAGCTCATCCCATGCTGACCCTGCAAACTGAATGTACAACAGATATGTCAGTTCCTGATACACAGAGACAAAGAAAGACTACAAGTTATAACTGAGTTCACCTCCTCCGTTGCTTCATGGTACCACTGTTCCAGCTCAGCCAGCCCAGCTTTAACATACTCCCCATTGCTAAATGAGCAACATTCACGACGTAGAAGAAGACTGCAGATAAAATTTGAACGCAATTTTATAGTGTTTAAATTTATATTGAAGCAGTGTTATGAGAGTAAGAACTTGGATTTTCCGTGTCTTTACCTGTTAAACAATTGGACATTGATAAATGAGAATATTTGTGTAAAAACCTTGCGAACTAGGAATGAAGGAACCTGTCCAGTCATATGAGAAGAGAGTGATGATATAAACAGGAAAGAAAAACCTTTTGACAATCCTTTTGAAATTTATACTCACATAGTTTGCTCTCATTATCTTCAAGTAATTATTTAGGCTTTTCACAATGCTTTGCCAGTGTGCAATCAGAGCCTGTTGAGCTACAGCATTAGCTTGGGCACGTCTATTCACTAAACTAGCCCGTGATGTCCTAGGTGCCTGCATTGGAATTTATGAACCATGAATATATCATACATATGTTGCATTACCAAGCAAGAGATAAAACAAGCAATCCAAACAAAATAGGAACTCAACAGATTCAATCATATTATCATGATCAAAAGTAAAAGACAAAAGATATATAAGTTACCTGGATACACAATCCAAGCAATGGGGATATTTCTTTTTTCAAATTGTCTCTTATCATTCCATATATCTTCTCAAGGAAGGCTGTGAGTTGTTGTTTAAAAAGCAAAGCTGGATACTTCGCTTCAACTTGTCGCAAGTCATCTATTCCACCAAGCATACGACTTTGAAGGAATGAGAAACCAGCACTTTGTGGAGAAGCTCGAAATCCCTTTACAAAAAAATATAAGTAAGCTGAACTGAAAAGATGAGGTACATGTAAATATAAAAACTACAAATAAAAAATAGCTCTTACTTGAGACATTCTTCCAAGTAGAGAAGTTGTTGTTGATCGCCGTCGCTGTGGAGTTAAGCTTGCTGCTCCACTTGCTTTCAACGTGCGTTGAAGTAGCAACAGCAGTGTGGATGAGTTTGATAACCAATAGGACAATTTGTCATTGTTATCTTGGACCTTGGGTAGGGCAATAACATCAAACATCAATAAAAATTCACATATTAAATCATTATAGAAACATATATAATCAACTATGTCATTAATTAGCTACCTTGAAAATACATAACTCAGTTAAACAAGGCTAATTTCGTCAGATTTAATATGAAAAATTGACGAGTTAGTTACATGCTTCATAAACAAGACCAGAATTAGACTTACATCTATTGCAGCACTTATTGTTTGAATAATACGGTCAAAGACACTGGTTCTATCAACCTCAAATGACCTCCAATGAAGAAGGCACTTATATATCAGACAAGCAGCAACAGGCTTTCCCCCAGAGAACCCAAGATCTTGTGAAACACATTTAATAAGAAGGTCCTGATTCTCCTGCAACAGGAAAGAAGATCATATGAGAACACATGATGCACGTGAATCATGCCTGTATAGAATTTTGATACTGATGATAACTGGTGCATACCTGTTGCTTCTCATTAAGAGATTTTTGGGGCTTTTCTTCAGTTTCCACTTCCCGTAGACTAGATACAGCAAGTACTGAATCCTGCTATATCCAGGAAGAGTTGGTAAGAAGTTTCATTGTCTTTTCATATTGGAATCTAAGATAAACCAGAAGTGATGTATAGCTCTTACCGGCAATTTCCTCATTTCTCCATTTAGCACATTTCCATTCTCAGTTCTCTGCAATTCAAAAATAAAAGTCAACATATATTTTCATAAACATATGTTAACTTGATGCGCAGCAAAATATGCAATATATACCTGAATGATTGTTGTTTTTGGCCTTGCACTTAATGCTCTACCAGTTGGTGATATCGCAAGTGCTTGTTGGCGGAGTACTTGATTCTCTGATTCCAAATTAGAAACCTTCTCTGCTAGTCTGCATCACCAAAAGAAAATAGTTAACGGGTTTGAAACATGTCAAACTAAGGCTCAATAACAAGCCCAATCTGGAAAGCATATAATTTACAGAATGCATAGACAACATAGGTTTTTGCAGAGAATATTAACATCCTCCAAACAAACATGGATCAGCATTATAATTCTCATGTGTTTTAGGTCACCGTGTTTTCTCCAAATCTAAGTGATGTAGGAGGTGCTGGCATAAATCTGACAGACTATTCAGTTTTTTTTCTTCCAGTAGTATGGTTAGTCACATCTAGAAGAGATAGAAGAGGAGATCGAGACAACTGAAAAGTAGATTGCAGTAAATATAATTTGATATGAAGCTGAAGGGCATAGCTTTAAACTTTTAAATTCCTTCCCCGGGTATCTGTTTATCTGTTTACAAACCTCTGTGTTGAATCCTGAAGATGGTCAACTTTCTTCTCTGAATCTTCAAGCTTCTTGATTAGTTCCTTATTTTTCACCTCAGCAGCTGCATGAGCTTGTTTTGCCTCTTCTGCTGCTTGTGTTTTCGATCGCAGCAAAGCCTGTACATGTGAAAATGTTCATTAGATCCATGACTTCACTTTTTTGTCCTTCCAGCAAATTGTTCAGTGCACTACAAACTGTCTTCAACAATTATTCTCTAATACTATTAGTTTCAAACCCTTGATGCTCCCAGCAAACATTCAAGTATGAAATTTGGTTCTAAATAGCTTATGCATACATATTTGCTCAGCATACAGCATCAATACCAAGACTTGTCTCACATACTTGCACAATAATCCAATATAACCACAGAAAACAATTAAGATATCCACAGCAGCATGATGGTCTGTATCAACCTTTTATAAAATTAATGCACCATGAAATAAAATTCTTGCTATATATGTAAGCTATACTTTCTGATAATCCCACCAACTTAGTAGGTCTACCTTCAGGTTTTCAACTTCAGCTGTTAATGAATTAATCTTTTCAGTATCTTGAACTATAACAGGGGTTTCTTTAATGACAGGAGGAGCTTCCTTAATGGCTTTTCGAGCCGCCTCTCGTTCTTTGATAACCATAGCATTAGCCTCTTCAACTTTAGATTGCATAGCATGCAATGCATCCTGCAACTTAGCCATTTCTTGGGCTTTTGCTTCCTCAAGATCAGTCTGCCGGAATACAGCAAAATGGAATTAGAATGCTAACCCTTGAGAATTGTGTATAAAAAAGAATGTAAGTATCAGGAGAATCATAATACCCTTAATCGCTTTTCAATTTGCAAACGCCAGGTAAGTTCCTCCACACGCTTTTCGAGCTTATCCTTTGCTTCCTTAAGAGCTCCTGTCTCTCTAGCAGCCTAAGTAAATGTCAAGGAAAAGATAGCATTAGTTCTTGTTCTCTCGTTTACAACCACAAATAGCATCAAAAAGTTGTGACAAGTACAAAACAACACTAAGCATTAAAATCCAACCATTTTAAGCATTCTGAGCTCTCTTCTGGCAACCCTACACCTCCAGCCACACTGAGAAACAATAATTGCTCTCTGAAGTCTCTTATAATAAGAATAAGTTTGGTGACAACGCCAGTGAGCCTGTTAATGAACAGCACATAATAAACTAAGATTCAGTAATTGTATTTCACAAATCAAAACAAGGAGTTAAATCTTATTTTGAGAACAAGAAATGTTAACTACTTGTAAGGTGAGTTGCACACCATTAAAAAGAATAATAAATGCATGAATAAATGGTCAAGTTACAGAACACTGATGATACCTGGATAATGATAGCAGCTTTAGTTTGCCTCCTAAACCTAAACTCATTGCGTGCAACCATTGCTCTTAAGCCTGTCTGCAATGTTATTGCAGCTGACCTAACTGTTAAATATGACGTCCTGGCAACATATAGCCGGAAATTCTTCTGGATCTTCAGAGCGGCAGCTTCCCGTCGCAACTGTTCATACAGTTTACGAGCCGTTTCACCTACAAATTGTGAGACATAGTATATCTTACATTACTCAAAGGTATTAACATAATCTCCAGTTAAGAATCCATACAGAAATACAAGATGCAACTTCCACTCAATTGAGTAATAACAAACACATTTTGTCATTGAGATACCATATCTCTAGCAATAACAAGTTGAAGTGGAACTGAATAATCATTTGAGGCAGATAAATTTAACAGAATCCAAAATAAAATACCTCGCAGATAAGATTGCAACATAATAGCAGCATTACGCAATGAGATGAACTCTCGGCGAGCAATATAGGTACGGGATTGCCGTTGAATGGTTCTGGCTGCATTACCCAGCACCTCTGCCCTCCTAGCATCCAACTCAGCCATCTGACCAGCTCTCAGGAAAACCTTTGCTTTACCTATCTGCAAAGCATGCATGCATAAAGACCATCAGTAACACAGAGTAAAGAAAAAGACCTTGTTTTTTTTGGTAAATAAGCAAAACAAGAAATATAAGAACTTTATAAAAGGAATTATAATTAAATAATATTGAAAGTAGTAACCAGCATTCAACAAAAATATCATAAATACAGCACTAGCAAATTAAGGAATAACGAAAAAGTTAAAAGGAAAAGTGTGATCACCTGGTATCCTTTGAGTCCTTTTTTATCAAGAATCATCTGGCATGCAACCTTATCATCATAGCTGTATCAAAGGGAAAAAAGTACATGAAAACCTAATTAATATCAAGCAATTTAAAAATGGGCAACAAACAATTTTTTTACTTTTATCATCATGGAAAAATCAGAAGAAATTATGATACTACTAAGACTTACTTTCCCTCCAAAACTTCAGGAGCAAGTAAACCAAAACGATTCAGGAACTCATAAAAGGTACGCCTGGTAGGATATCCTGCACAACTGATCCTAATTGCCTCAAGAACACCCTAAAAAGTATAAGGGAAAACCAATTTACTTTAAGAAATGAGAAAAGCTATAAATTTTAACAAGCAAAATAAAACTAAGTCTCATAAAAGGTTTGGCAGGTTATTATAAAGCACTTAAAGGCACGCATTAAGCACAATATACTCACACCACAGCGTAATTGTTGAATGACATTGAAATTCTCAAAAATAGCAGGCTTTAGAACATTATTTGGCTTTACACATCTGATGTAGTGAGGTTCCGTCGCACTCAAGGTCTCCATCAGAGATTGAAGTTGTAACTGCAGTTTAGACAACCTATTAGTGCACTGCTCAACTAAAATCCAGAAAGATTAAGAACCCAGTCACTTTGCGCTTTAAATACAACATAAACCACTAGGGAACTACAGACTGGTCCAACAACATCACAGATAATCAAAACAAGGGAATTAGAAAAGCTAATGCGCACACATTACCTTGAAACGTGATCCTATGGAAGAGAATTTGGATGATTTTGATGTTTCCTCTGGAAGCGGCGGAAAGAGACCTGCCACAAAAGAGCACTTTGCAGCAGTCAACAAAGCTTGGTGTTCAGCCACAACATAATCTTTGTTTTTGTCCAAAAAGTGATTGGCTTGATATGCCACCTACAAAGTGTTGAAAGATTTCAAAAACCAATATAAGTGCCATAATTTTTCCCACTCAAAAGAAAAAAAAAAAGTTAAAGAGAAAGGAAAAGGCTTTATAACGAAGACGAGATATTTTTACCTCTCCTGCATAGTGTGATATAGTAAAATCAGTGCGGGAGAGCTTCGGTTTGATAAAACGTTTATTATTTTTAAAAGTCTGGTACAGCTTCTGTGCAAATGTTTCATGTGTAGACTTGGGAAACATGCTGCATTAGAAAACCAGGGAAACAACTTTAGTGATTTTAAAAAGGAAAATTATTCATAACAGAATGTGAAGATAAGAAAAATAAAGCAAGTTGATAAACTAATAGATACTTGTAACCTAAGTGATCAAGATTAACCAAAGGAACATACCAGGCTTCATCTAAGAGCGCAATTATTCCTCCAGGTTTCTGTCAAAAATCAATTCGCATGTTTATTACATACCATCTCATGATATCGAGAATGACTAGAAATTTATGAAACCACAACATTCACACATGAATTCAACTGATCTTAAATGGAGCGCTTGAAAGCAGAACAAAGACAGAACACAAAATCCTAAGTCAAATGGATGAAGAAAAAAACTTAAAACCTTTTCAATCAGATCCAACACATCTTGGTTATCAACAAACTCGATGTAGCTCCAATCTATCTCTTCTCTACTATATTCTTCCTGCTCCATTTTAAACACATGCTGCAGACAAAACAATTACAAATAACAAACATCAGTCTTATTTGTCTCAAAAGTAACGAGCCATATTTGCTGATTCAGAAAGCTAACCTGATTGAAATGTTGTTGCAACTTTTCATTAGTGAAATTGATGCAGAACTGCTCAAAACTGTCAGATAATAATATAAGCAAAAAAAGAATCAATAAGCCATGCCTGAACTAGCTTGTTGAATTGCTTCTTTTTTCTTTATTCTGCTCATGACATAATTCCCTCCCATTATCACCACCAACCTCAACTCTCTCCATAAAATTTTATGCATAAATAATATATATAGAGCTCCAATAGTATAGAAGCTTTGTAAAATTAACAACTTACCTATTGACCTTAAAACTTTCAAAACCATAAATATCAAGAACTCCAATTATTGACTTCGAATTTGGATCCTGTCCAATTGAAACGTTAATTTTTTCCACAATCCTGGAAACAATAATGTAAACAAACATTATGATCTAACAAATACAACAGAAAACACACTTTTCAGTCCAAGAACCAGAAAGGAAAACAAAAAGAATTTGGTTTAAGGAGCGCCTACCAGTCAAATAAGCGAGAATATAACGTCTTAGCTAAAGCATCTCTGCTTGCAACTGCGTTGACAGGGTCAAGAGTCCTTGTAATAACTTCTTCTGGTGTAACCATTACACGTTTAATTAGAGCATCTTCTAAACTCTGAGCATCACACCTACACGTGCTTTTGATTAGTAAAAGACGATTATAGTTATCAAGCTCCACATTCCGACCAAGTAGAAGACATATACCTAAGAAGTTCTGCTGTCATATTAAGATGGAATCTAGACTTTTCATCCTTGATGACAGAAGAGTCAATCTCCTTTCCCTTGGCAAAATCAATATTACCAAGATGAAGAATTGCAGCCACAACCCTGAAAATTGACTCCTGCAGAAAACTGTATAAGATCAGAATTGAATTGAACCAAAATATAGAGTTTCAAAACAGAAGAGAGATATACTTGTTCTTGGTCACTGATTCCAACTATATCCATAGCCCTTCTGGTAGCTAGATACTCATGAGCATCATTTACACCATCCAGCTCATAACAGTTTGACTGATTTAGATAATGAAAAGATTTTGGGTTCCCCAATTTATACTTAGCATTGTCCTGCAAATATTTTAAGAAGTTTTAAAACCCACATCTGCTTCAATAAAATAGCCACTAAAAGCATAACAGATAAAAGCAAGTGGATGAGCAAAAGGTACCTCAGGTGGTGCTGCACAAAGATGATAAAAGCAATGGTAATTTCTCTCTGGATCAGAAATTTGGCAAACACGAGACCTTTCAAGAAGATAAGTTCTAACAGCTGCCCCAGATATTCTCCCATTTTTGTCAAACTGGATTTCGACAAATTTTCCAAAACGACTGCAGTGTAATGAAGGCACACATGACTAAGTAACAATTTAAATACAAGAGCATTCAACTAAATCACTTGGAAAAAACTATTTTGACAGAGGTATAAAATAAATGAATAGTTTAATGACTACCAAGGATTTCAATGCAAAAAACACATGAGAAGTTAATAACACACCTTGAGTTGTTATTCCTCACTGTTTTAGCATTGCCAAATGCTTCAAGAACTGGGTTGGACTGTAATATTAAAAGGAAAAGAAATAAATATGGAATATACTTAATGCCTTTATTCTCAAAATATTTAATGAAATGCATAGGCTAAGAGATTGGACTCTAGACTTCTACAAACGCAACAATGTAATGATATAATATCTAACCTCTAGAACTTGTTGTTCTACTGTTCTTCCTTCTACTCCAGAGCGCCCACCCAAGTGGGCAAGATATCTCATAAGCATCTTGGTTGTCTCGGTTTTACCAGCTCCACTTTCTCCACTTACGAGAATAGAATTGCTTTTTCCTTCATTAATCATCGCCCTGTTTTGTTAAGTCATTCGCATCAGTAATAGCAACATCAAGATACAAATATGCATGTGTTTGTGTGTGGGTACTTTGTAACATCCAAGAGACTGATCAGAGATCACCTGTATGCGGCATCTCCAACTGCAAACACATGAGGACTTAGCTCCCCCAATGCAGCTCCCTTGTATTGTTCCATCATGTGAGTATCATACAGATGAGGCAATCTTTGAAATGGATTAACTGCTATCAGGATATTGCCGGTGTATGTCTAAGAAGGTAATATATAATTGTGAGCATCATATGAATATTTCAAAGCTTTTTCACGAGTAATTACTTAAGCATCTTGGAATGACATAAAATTGACATAGTAAAGCAAAATGACTCACGTAAATTTCATTAAGTTCATATCTAGTGGCCAGGTTCTGTAGAACTCCAGGTTCATGCAAATATGAAAGTTTTGTCATATCATCGACACCACCAGGCGGTGCTTCAGTGTCCTCAGGGAACACTTTGGATATATTCGTAACAATCTGCACAAAACACATCATCCAGAAGGGTTAAAAGAACAAAGCATGAGAGCAGAATCATATATAATGATAATTTCACAAGGCTTTCAGAGGGGTATTCTGCAGCCACAACACAGAAACAATTTCAACAGTCTAACCTATTTACGGCTAACATACAACATTCCTAACATCTACATGTTAAGTTGTCATATTGTTACTAGTATTTATACTGGATTGATAAAGACAATCTTCAGCTTCCCATTAAATAATATCAGCATACGAAGACGCTTAACATGAAGGCAATTTTAAATAGTATTCGAAACAGTAATCATAACAAAGCAGGAGTTCACTAGCAACTAGAAGTCGTATATTCTAAGTACAAAGAGATGTCAACTGATAATTAATACAGAGCACTTACTTTCTTCCCATTTTGGCAATTAACATGAACCTCTTGACCGTTGATCCGAGTAACTTCTCCATCAATCCATGCCAAAACGGGATCTTCAACCCATACATGGGAACCTACAATTATGTTAACCGGTGCTGCCTGCAAAAGTATCATTTCTTAAAGCAACAGTAAACTGTAAAAAACATCATTAAATAAATTCCAAAAAGCAATTACTGGTATTTCGTGAAAGCTGAATTGAGAATTAAATTTCAATACCCAAGAGATAAAGGAATTGAATGTCAACATAAACAAGTTTTATATCAACAAGCATTACACATCCTGGAATAACTCAATTATTTAAACACGTATACTTACCATAAAAAAATTAAAAAGAGATATCATTTTGCAATTAGCACAAACTAACTTTCAAAAATAACCGACAAGAAAATGCGCGCCCAACCACTTCGAGGAATGAAACCAAATTCTAACACTGCCTATTAACTTACCCCGCAAAGCCGAATATTACCTCTGATAAATTCGACTAAATCAATACAAGCAATGTTCAAAAATTTAACAATCTACCCAAAATGCCCATATTCCAAAATACAACAGCCATATACAAAATAGCTCTTCATTTCTAAGCTTTCTTGTCCAGTCTCCATTTAAATTCCAATTACAGCCAGTCAATAACTTTGCAAACAAACTGCATACCGCTTAACAATGACAAATGAACCAAGCTACAAACTTCAATCAAAATTTTCTTTCACATAACAATTTCCTCAATCCTCTTAATTTCACTCAACATGCCATCGACAAATTTAAAACACCAAAGACAAAAACAACACAGACCCAGTTCCTAAAATCTCAAACCTCTGAAAAACAACTCAAAACCTACACTTTACACCACACAAAACAAACCCAACTCCACAGTTATTCAAATAACAACCCAGAAGTTTCAACCAGCAAAACTGAATAATCAACAACAAAAACAAACCCTTCAACAATAACTACATGCAAGCTAAAAAATAAACAACGAAAGCTTAAAACAATAACTTATGCTTAGCTTTTGAATTACCATTCGATAACACCAAAGAAGAAGATCTTGATAATCTTCTTCAACTTCAACTCATCCAATCCAACCCCACAGACCCTTCAACTCCTCTCCCACTCTCACCACAAAGTTCAGTTTTTTTCTCTTTTTCCCCCCCTTTCTCTCTCTAAAGTTTAAGTTTTTCCCCCTTCTCTCTCTAAAGTTTGAGTTTTTATCCCACCTCTCCCTCTAAAGTTCAAGTTTTTCTTCACTTCTCTCTCCAAAGATTGAATTTTTTTTTTGTCCTTCCCTCTCTGTAGCTGTTTTTTGTGTTTCTGTTTTGTGTAATTTTTTTTTTTTTTTTTTTTTTTTTTTTTTTCTTGGTTTCTATGTATTTGAACTCTCTTTCTCTCTCTTTCCAAAGTGTTTGAGCTTTTGTTGTTTGTATGTCTCTGGTCAGCCGAGGATGACAAAGATGGGACCCACAAACCCCTTTGTTCTTTTGTTTTTTCAAAATGACTCAAAACACTCAAAACCCTCCCTTTCTTCTTCTTCTTCTTCTTCCTCTTCCTCCTCTTCTTTTATTCTCATTATTTACTAATTAAGCAATGATTAATTATCATTAATTAGGGAGTTACATTTTTTGGTTTTATTACTCAATCACCCTTCTTTCCATTTTCGCAAAAAATAAAAAACAAATGAAAAAACGTTTTCGTGATTATAGATGGTGGGAACTAGAAAACTCGTCTTTTAAATGATCAGTTCAATGATCAAAACAAGATTAAAAGATATGATCTGGTACGATATTAAGTTAAGGACCATAAATACTAATTAAACATGACACGTGGTGTGATACATATGGGTTATCGCACAACAGGTAATATTGATATTAAGGTTTATATAAATCATCACGATCAGATCGATTTGCATCAATGGATTTGATAATTTATGTTTGATGATTTAAAAACCGAAAAGATAAATAATTTTACTTTAAATTTAATAAAAGATGTGCTTTTCCGAATCTTCATTTGCAAAAGATGAATTATTTGAATGGTTGGTGTAAAAAATAACTTTGAAAACTACTTATTAACTATAGCCATTTAACCATCATTTTCATCCTTTTTTTTTTTTCCTTTTTTTTATTATTCAATTTTTTATTTATTATAAAATTTTCCCACCTTTCTAAATTGCACACCATAATTATTATGTTATGCTGGAAAATATTTATTTTTTAAATATAATATAAAAAAATTTGCATGATAAAAGTCTACCTTTGGACCACTTAATTAAAATGAAAAAAATAAATAAAATCAAAAATCAAATTTCTAAGAAAAATATTACAAATTATTAAACTGAGAAAGCTTTTGACTAAGTTGACCTTATTTATAATTATATTTGAAAATTTTTCATTATTTTAATGTTTAAATAGGAAATTCTTAATGGTTAAGGAATGTAATTATAGATAATGATGGAGGGTAATTATGGAATTTCAATGAATTACATCCGTACACGACAAGACAAAAAGAGAAATCCGCCCATCTTCGCTGGTTTTGCGAAAAATAATATTTAAAATTAAATAATTTTAATATTTTTAATTTTGACCCCAACAAGACGCCATTTCAGCATTTCTCAAATGTTTAATTGTGCATATCTGATTTTATTTTTTTAATTTTAATTAATACAAGATTCAAAATTACCAGATCACAAAATTAATAATTCGATCCATAAATAGAAAAAAAAAATATATCAATACTATAAGAATTTATAAAATAAATCTACAACTAATTTAAATAAATCAAGTTGGCATCAATTTTTGGATTTTAAATATATATGTTATTTATGATATTTAAATATATATTTTATATTAATGATCTTAAATCTAATTCAAACTAGAATTCAATCTAAACTGGATCAATTGATAATGATTTATTTCATATGAGATCGATTAATATTAAATATACGCATTAGGTTTTGCAATGTTTGAGCCAAGGTCGGTGATTTTCATCTCCAACCTCGGCCCTATTAAGATACCATCCCCTTCGACCTCAACCCTAACCTTAGATTCTCTTGGGTGTGTATCTCGGAATGGAATGGAATACTTGCTCTTAACTTTGTACCTAAAAATCCCTAGATTTTTTTTTTAAAAAAATAAATCAATACATAATTATATCTAATAAATATACCGAGAACAAGGGTAAGATCAGTTTTCATAGATCTTCACCTTCGTTCTCCCCTATCCTTGTCTTTGGTTTCAAAGTTAATTTTTCCCGATCTGAGAAGATTTCCCACTCAACAGGATTGATTTTTTCAAGTACGTGATTTCATCGAAGATATTTTGTCGTCCCTAAACCCACATTTAGACTCTTAAAAATTCCACTGATATTATTAAAAACTCATTATATCATAAACACCCTATTTGATAATTTCAAATGTGAGTACCTTCAATATTTGATTGCTCTCATTGGGCATTAGATAATGATAGAAAATGTAAATGGAAGAATTAAAGATAAAAGATTAATTAATATTATAACTAATTAATTAATATTATAAAAAGCAAAATTTAAGTGAATCTTACCAACCCAGTGACCCACATTATTGAATAACTAATTATAACTTATTATATTATTTATAATGTATTAATAATAATTATAGACTTTTATATTTAAATACCCATACTTTAATCATTATTATTTTTTTTTTCTATTAACAATATAAAATCATGGCAAAGAATTTTTTTCTATATTAATTGGTAGAATATAAAGCAATGGGTGATAATGACACCATATCACTTAGGGTATTCAAAAGAATCGGTTGGAATCGAAACCGACGAGTACTGAGGTTTGGTTACGGTCCCTACTCGGAACTGATCGTCAACGGGTAGGTTCCGGTTTCAAAATTTTGGAACCGTTATTGTGCGATTCCGGTTCCGGTTTCAATAGTTAGGAATTGGAACAGAAATGGGAAACCCAGACTAATATAAAATAAAATTAAAGATTAGGGGGGTTAATAAAAACTTTTGTAGAAAAAGTAATGTAAATACATTTATATTTATATTTTATAATATTTAAAATAAGTTGGTTTGACTTTTGAGAATCTACCTTTACAAAGTAATGGAGTTTGTGATTTTGAATTTATAATTTGTTATTTTATTTTTGTTAACAAGTGTCAGGTGGAGGGGTATTTGTAAGTTTTTAAGGTTTTTTTGCCATTTTAAAAACTTTTGGGGGGTCATAAATTTTATAGGGTACCCAGAATCAGAACCTGAACCATTGTTACAGGTTCCGGTTTTGGTTCCAAATTTCAAGGAACCATCGGTTCAGGTTCCGGTTCTTTCAAAAAATATAAGGTACCCGAAACCGAACACCCCTAATATCACTTACCCTTAGGTAGCAAGTGGTAGGACAAATACTGTGATGTGTATTTAAGGTGTATGGTCTCAAATTTGAATCCTCTAATAGCCTGAATGTTGGAATATATGGTTAAGACATATGGTCTTAGGTTCAAATATGTTGATATGAATGGTTAAGGTGCACATACGATCTTAAATTCGAATTTCCTAATAGCCTGAATGTTGGAATGTATGTTTAAGGTGTACGGTTTCAGGTTTAAATATGTTGGTATGTATGGTTAAGACATACGTACGATCTTAAATTGAATTTTCTAATAGCCTGAATATGGAATATATGGTTAAAGTGTACATATTTGTGCGTATAGGTAAATTATAATTATTAAAAAATTCTCTTAAAATTTTACAAAACCCGCTTTTACGGTGTTTTTGTTGAGTTTTAAAACAATGGATCTCAATAAAAAATTCAGTAAACCAATAGTCCCTCATAGTTTCCTAGACTACATTTACATCCTCCTTTCAGTTTCAAGTTCCAATTTTTACGCTGCCCATTTCTTCTCTCTCAAACCTAACCAGCCACCCTCTCTGTCTTTCATTTTTTCTCCAATCATGGCTGCCACACTTTCTTCTTCTTTTATTCAACCTCCCGGTCTCTCTTTCACCTCCAAAAACTCACCCCACAAGCCGACCTTCTTCACCGCCACCACCATCAAAGCCTCCGCCTCTTCTTCTCCTTCCAGAAACTCCAACACTATCAGAGACGAGGCTCGCCTCCACAATGTGATCCACACCCACCATTTCTCCGCAAAGTACGTTCCTTTCAACGCGCCTCCGTCGTCTGACGAGTCATACTCGCTGGACGAGATCATTTACCGGTCTCAATCCGGCGGCCTTTTGGACGTTCAACATGACATGCAGGCGTTGAAGCAATACGATGGGAAGTATTGGAAGAATCTTTTTGACTCGAGAGTTGGGAAGACCACGTGGCCTTATGGGTCCGGAGTTTGGTCAAAGAAAGAATGGGTTTTGCCTGAGATTGACAGTGATGATATAGTGAGTGCTTTTGAAGGGAACTCGAATCTTTTCTGGGCTGAGAGGTATGGTAAAGAGTACTTGAAGATGAGTGATTTGTGGGTGAAACACTGTGGGATAAGTCATACAGGGAGTTTTAAGGATCTGGGTATGACAGTTTTGGTGAGTCAAGTGAATAGGTTGAAGAAGATGAACAAACCAGTGGTGGGAGTTGGTTGTGCTTCAACTGGGGACACGTCTGCAGCTTTGTCTGCTTATTGTGCGGCTGCAGGTATTCCTTCTATTGTGTTTTTGCCTGCTAATAAGATTTCTATTGCTCAATTGGTGCAGCCTATTGCAAATGGTGCCTTTGTGTTGAGTCTTGACACTGATTTTGATGGGTGTATGCAGTTGATAAGGGAGGTAACATCTGAGTTGCCTATTTATTTGGCTAATAGTTTGAATAGTTTGAGGTTAGAGGGACAAAAGACTGCTGCAATTGAGATTTTGCAGCAGTTTGATTGGGAGGTGCCTGATTGGGTGATAGTTCCTGGAGGTAATTTGGGGAACATTTATGCATTTTATAAGGGGTTTAATATGTGTAAAGAGTTAGGACTTGTTGATAGGCTTCCTAGGCTTGTTTGTGCACAAGCTGCAAATGCTAATCCGCTATACTTGTATTACAAGTCAGGGTGGAAGGATTTTAAACCTGTTAGGGCAAATACTACTTTTGCATCTGCTATTCAGATTGGTGATCCAGTTTCGATTGATAGAGCTGTTTATGCTTTGAAAAATTGTGATGGGATTGTTGAGGAAGCTACTGAGGAGGAATTGATGGATGCTATGGCGCAGGCGGATTCTACTGGCATGTTTATTTGTCCGCATACTGGGGTGGCTTTGACAGCATTGAATAAGCTCAGGAATAGTGGGGTTATTGGGAAGACTGATAGGACGGTGGTGGTGAGCACAGCTCATGGATTGAAGTTTACTCAGAGTAAGACTGATTATCACTCAAAGGATATCAAGGACATGGCCTGCCAGTTAGCTAACCCTCCTGTGAGTGTGAAGGCAGATTTCGGGTCAGTTATGGATGTTTTACAGAAGTACTTGTTGAGCAAAGTGCCCAAGTATTAAGCCAATGAGCAACACAAAAGTTGCTTATGCACTCTATCCCTTCCCTGTTAGGCAGAAAGAACTCTGCTCTTAAAGGCATCTAGTAGCTCGAATTGTCTCATTATTTAGTCTTTGTTAGAGAAGCCATTTGTAAGGCAGCATTGCTAGTTTTGGTCAAGCTATTCATCATTAGGGTTGAAATGGAATGTTTGCTGTATGTCTGAAGCATTTTTATGTTATTTTCCTATTGTGTCTCTTTCTTTATCAAATATTAATTGGTCAGCAGGAGAAATCAACTTGCTTATCATTAATTTCAATTACATTTTTGGTGGTGAACAATTTGTTATATTTGTTCACTTTCTTTCTGGATAATTTTCCATTTCAGCATATTTACTTATTTACTGTTTAGTAGAAGTGATATTTCTCTTTAATTGGCCCATTCTTAGCTGTGAAATTTGATTCAATTTATGAAATAAGTTTTGAAGTAGAATTCATCAGGACTTTGCTGCTGAAATGATTATTGAAACTTGCTCCTTGAAAGAAATTGCAGGGGAAGTACTCTTGTAGAATTCATTCTTTGACCCTTTATTCTGTCTTTCATCGTTTTTCGGCCTTAATAAGGCTGTTCCATGTTTGCTAGAAAGAAATACTAGTGTGATGAGAGTTTCGATTGCGGCAGCTTGCAACGATGAGATATATAAATGTGTACCTATGAGATTCTGAGCTAACCATGTGGGGAGATTATTCTTCACAGCACCATCTCTTTCCTTGAATTTGTGTTGGATCTTCAAAAAAAAAAATTGAGGACTTGGCATTGCTAACTTAAGCTTTTGATACTTTAAATGAAACCAAGTAATGGCGCTTGTACTGGTGATATCATAACGAATTTATGTATCTTTATGTTCATACGCTCTGAAGTTCATTTTCGTGATCTTTAAGCAAAAAGGAAGACATAGAAACAATGGAAGTACCCCAATTATTTATCTTCACTTGGAGTTGAAGATATCAAACTCCTTAGAGGCTGTTGGTCTAATGTGTGTCTGTGCTTGGCTTTCCTCAACTCAGACTCTTCTTGATAAAAGCTTGGACCTCTTTGAATATGAGTGACAAATACAACTCCAGCATCAGCTTGTGGCTCTTATCAGCCCCAGTTTTTTCTGGTTTAGGTTCATGATTAAACAAGTCTAATCAATTATTCTAACTTGATTTAAGACTAAGTCAACCAAAGGCTTTGTACCTCTCATGGTGGAAAAAAGTCAGATAATAACAAAGTAAGTGTCATGTGTGGATGTGCCCATTTGATCTTTCTTTGTGGAAAATTTTGCCACTAAAAACAAGGTGCAGATGAGAAATTAAAAACTAATTATCATTAATGTCTTTATCTCTCTCTCTCTCTCCCTTTTTTTCCCCTGCGCAAATAAAGCTCACTTCACTAAGTTCAGAAGAGAAGAAAATGGAGCAGAAACTGAACATAGAGCAATTCACAGGCCAGGCAAGGCTACCAAGCTTTGCAGTTCCAAGTCGTTACGATCTTCACTTTAAACTTGATCTCTGTGAAAGTGCTTTTGCTGGTACTGTAAACATTAACCTCTGCATCCTCGAAAAGACTAACTTTATTGTCTTAAATGCTGCTAGACTTAATGTTTATGAAGTCTTGTTCACTACCTCTCACAACCAAGTAAGTAAGCTTAGTTTATAATCATGATCAATAGTCCTATTTGGGTTGATTTTTATACTGATTTTTTATGGAATTTTGGGTTCTCACTTTGCAGAAATATAGTCCTTGTGATGTTGTTCTGGACAACAGTGATGAAATACTTGTGTTGGTCTTCGATGAAGCTCTTAGTGTTGGAGAAGGAGTATTGGGGATCACGTTTTCTGGGAATCTTAATGACCACTTGATGGGGTTTTATAAATGGTGAGGGTTCTTTTTCCATTTGTTCGTTTCACCAGGAAAAGGTTTCCATGGTACTTTTCTTTAATTTTCAATAATAGAGAAAAATAGAAGGAATATCTTTTGAATTTTTCATGTACAGGATCAGAGGGGAAAAAATACTTTACTAACCAAAAACTAATTGATCTTTAAATTTAACAGTACTTATACGGACAAAGAAGTGAAGAAGAATATGGCAGTTACTCAATTTGAACCTGTGCATGCAAGATGCTGTTTCCCATGCTGGGACGAGCCTGCTCTTAAGGTATTAAAACTGAAAAACAGAAGCTGAATCCTGGCAGCTATTTTTCTTGTGTGGCCTTCGTTTTACTCTCTGTGAAATTGTTTTCATGAAAGGGTTCAAGTCAAAATTGCCTTTTTTTCTTAATTTGTTTTTTTTTTTAAATGGTACTTGTCAAGTAGCCAGTATGCTTGATAATATAGTTCTATATCTGGGGAATTTGTATTATTGATCTCATTTATGTTTTGGTTAAATGTCAGGAGGCCCAGTTCCTCTTTTATATTTCTAAAAATCGTTAGCCCTTCCTTGAGATTCATTAGAAATAAAATTTTGGAACCACCTAAATCAAATCATATATATTTTATGTTCTTAGCTTGAAAACTGAGAATTGATCCTTATTACTATAGAATTGCTGAATCATGATAACAGGCAACCTTCAAGATAACATTGGATGCACCATCAGACTTGACTGCGTTGTCTAATATGCCCATTATTGATGAAAAGGTCAATGAGAATGTAAAGACTGTTTATTTTGAGGAATCTCCGGTCATGTCAACATATTTGGTGGCTGTTGTGGTTGGTTTATTTGATCATATTGAAGATATAACTAGCCATGGTATGTATATGAGCCACAGGCTTCTGTTTTTATTTGGTATAAATTCTCTGTTATCTAGATCTTTGAACTCTACATGTAGGTGTCAAGGTTGGAGTATATTGCCCTGTTGGCAAGAGCGATGAAGGAAAGTATGCATTAGAGGTTGCTGTTAAGTCACTTGATATATTCACCAAGTGAGTAATATACATTCTGGTTTTGTCATGAGTTAATTTTATCTTCACGTACTTGATTCTTCTGGTTATGTGAACCAGCTCAAATTAAGATACCATAGTGTAGTTTGATGAACAAGAAAGGAGCCAAAGAAAGAGAGAATGTGCAAATTACACACTTAGTCCAATAAACCATTGTAGATTTCTAAGTATGTGCCAATACATTGTAACTAAAACACTTGGATTGCTTTCTTTGATATAACACCCTCCCAACAATGAATCGAGATAACATAAATGATGTTCTTGAACATGTGTCTATGTGTTCTTACATTCATGAGGTGGTAACTCTAGTTCCAGCACTCATTTTCTGTAAATTAAACAGATATATTAACCTGGGGTATTGAGTTTTTTCAGGTTTTTCTCAACTCCTTACCCACTCCCTAAACTGGATATGGTCGCTGTCCCTGAATTTGCTGCTGGAGCTATGGAGAATTTTGGTTTGATCGTATACCGTGAAAGTCTTTTGCTTTATAGTGATTTGAAATCTACAGCTAGATGCAAGCAGATCGTAAGTTAGTCGTTCAAAGGAGTCTCCAGTTTTTTGGTTTTTCCCTCCCTCCTTTTTCTCTCTTTCACAATTCTATTATCCCCCTAAATGTACAAAATTTCCTGAGAAGTAGCAGCTCAGCTGTTGCTTATGGAGAATGGAACTTTTACTTTAACCCTTAAAACACAAACACTTCATTTTCGTTTTCATTTTCATTTTCATTTTCTTATTTTTAATATTTCCTATTTGAGGGACAAAATATTCTACATTCTCAACTTCCGTTTTCCTCTGCCTGTCAGAACACAATTGTTGCGGCACATGAAGTGGCTCATCAATGGTTTGGCAATCTGGTAACAATGGAATGGTGGACTCATTTGTGGCTTAATGAGGGTTTTGCAACATGGGTATTTTAAATCTCTCAACTTTGAGTGTTTCCCTTTGTGGGCATTGCAGTTGGCCGCATTTTGGAACTTTTATGTTGTAACTTGTTTTTACATTTCCAGATAAGTTACATGGTTACTGACATCTTGTTTCCCGAGTGGCAAATATGGACTCAATTTCTTCAACTATCAGCTGATGGCCTAAGTCTGGATGCACTACAACAATCACATCCTATCGAGGTAAGATACAGTCAATGCTCATGCTAAAATTTGCACTCATGCACATCACAATGATGATTGTGTTAAAATTATAAGGGTGAACCAGTGACTTATAAATGTTGCGTAAACCTTTCAATGATGAGATTCAAATATGTCTTGAACAAATTGTTTGCCGGTGTTGCAGGTGGAGGTTGACGATGCTCATGGAATTGATGAAATTTTTGATGAAATTAGCTACAATAAAGGATCAGCTGTCATCAGAATGTTGCAGGGTTACCTTGGGGATGACATAGTTCAGGTGTGAAAGTTAACATCTTAATTTACAGAGTAGCTATTTTATATAGAAGATCACATTCAACTTCTTAATTTAATTTCTTTTTGCTTCTGCACTTGTGATATAATTTAGCATCTTTTAGTTGTGTTCTTTAATCATCTGACTTTGATTTCAAACAGAAGTCCTTGAGTTCATACATGAAGAAATATGCTTGGAAAAATGCAAAGACAGAAGATTTATGGAGAGTTATTTCGGAGGAATCTGGTGTTAATATAAATTCAATGATGGACTGTTGGACAAAGCAGAAGGGATATCCTGTTATCTACGTAAAATCCAAAGATCAAGTTTTGGAATTTGAGCAGGTATTAAGATTGACTAATGAAAAAATGATTTTCTATGAGATCAAAACTTGAAAGTTTCATATTTGTGCTTTGATTTTTTTTCTCAAGTGAGGAATCTGATACTGGTTTGGGGATTTGCAGTCACAGTTTCTGTCATCTGGTTTGCATGGTGATGGAATATGGACTGTTCCAATAACTTTGTCCTTTGGTTCATACGACAAGTGCAAGAAGTTTTTTTTGGGATCAAAAAGTGAAAGAGTTGATATATCAGAAATGTTTCCTTCTTCAGATGGCAAGTCAAGCTCACTCAAGGAAAATAATCAAGAACAGTGTGATGAAACTTTATGGGTCAAAGTTAATGTTGAGCAGAGTGGTTTCTATAGAGTAATATATGATGATGAACTTGCAGCTCGACTCAGGAAAGCAGTGGAAAAAAATTGCTTATCGGCTGCTGACAAACTTGGTATGTACTACATGCCAGTTAAGACTGTCCTCCCTGAGAAAATCAGTTAAAAATATAGATAGATGAGCCTCTTTTCCTGGCTAGAAACTGCAAATGATGCACTTTCCTTTATAAGTTTGCTTTTCTTTATTTCTTTAGCACTATAATTAGAATCAAATCAATTGGTCATTAACTTCTTTCAATCCCATTTTCAGGCATTTTGGACGACATGCTTGCTCTTTCCAAGGCTTGCAGACAGCCATTATCATTTTTGCTTCTGTTGATGAGCGCATATAGAGAAGAAGTTGATTATATAGTGTTATCGAAACTCATCAATGTAAGGGTATCTTCTGTAACTTGGCAGTGACATCAATTGGCCCTATGATTTCAATCATTCTAACTTAACTCAAGTGACAGGTTTGTTATGATGTTATTGAGATCTCAACAGATGCCATCCCAGAGTTAGTCAATGAATTGAGAAAATTTTGCATCAGTCTCCTTCAAAATTCTGCTGAGTAAGAAATATTAGCAAGGCTTTCACTCCAACTCAATTTTGATTGAAAAATCTCCCTCATAATAATTAAATTGAAATGTTGATGGATTTTTTTTTTTTTTTAATGTATGTTAGGTGCATGCCCCAAATTATTTCTTAAAGGAAAATTCTACCTCACAATAGTGCACATAATCACAATAACAACTTTCAGTCGAGAGATGAAAATGATATGAGATTTTCATCTCTATTTGGTCTTTCAGTCTTCTTGAGACCATGTTTAGAATATTGCTAAGTCCTAAGTCATTGCTGGTAAAAAAAAAAATCTCATTTTTCACTTCGTATTTTGTGCAGAAAAGTAGGTTGGGAATCAAAACCTGGAGAGAGTCATTTAAATGCATTGTTAAGGGGAGAAGTCTTTATAGCTTTGGCTAATTTTGGCCATGACAAAACTCAACTAGAAGCGATGGAGCGCTTTCAGGTTTTGTTGAAGGATAAAGACACTCCAATACTTTCCCCTGATGTGAGAAAGGTAAAATAAAGCCTAAACATCATGTTTTTTCCTTGTTCCTTTGAACATTTTAAAATATGATATGCAGAAACTTGTTTTGCTCTGCAGGCTGCTTACATTGCTGTAATGAGAAATGCTACCACCACAGATAGGCGAGGCTTTGACTCCCTACTGAAGTTTTATAGAAAAGCTGATGCAACACAAGAGAAGGAACTGATTTTACGTAAAGACTTGTTAAAAATTATGGTCTTGCATTCACCTCTTATCTGTGATTGGGACATTGTGTGAATTTGATGTTCTATATTTGACATGCACAGGGGCTATAGCATGTTCTCCTGACCCTGATATAGTTGCAGAGGTTTTGAACTTTTTGATGTCAGATGAGGTCTCTCTCTTCTCTAACTAAGTTACATGCTGTGATAGCTTGAATTTTCTCGCAAGTATTATATTTACTGAGTTCATCGCAAAATCCTTTCAGGTTCGAGATCAAGATGTTATTTTTATAATTGGTGGAATAAGCCTAGAAGGCCGTGAAACAGCATGGAGATGGTTGCAGGTATGCAGCTCCTTGGCTGATTTAACCTTATGTATCTTATCGATATCACATCTGGGTTTTTGAAATAATTGGTTGTGAGTGTCATGAAGATTTGGAAAATTAATCTAAATAATCTACAATAATGTAGGACTCTTTCTTAATCCTCAAATTAATATAATCGCGTATGTTTGATTATAAATGCAGGAGAACTGGGACCAAATCTTAAAGAAATACGGTTCAGGAATTATACTCCATCGTTTCGTTAGGGGTATTGTCACACTGGTAAGCAATCAAGTAGGAATTTGCAGATGCCAGATAGTTCATAGATTGGATTCAATACTATTATTGCCCTATTGAACTTTAAGTTGACTCCCTTTTTTTCATCTGGCAGTTTTGCAGCAATGAAAAGGCTGATGAGGTTGAATCATTTTTCAGAAATCATGTGAACCTTGGAATTGAAAAGATTTTGATGCAAAGCATTGAACGAGTCCGAATCAAGGCAAGATGGATTGAAGGCATCAAGCAAGAACATTCTCTTCCAATCCTACTCATGCAATTAGCTCATGAAGGGTGAAAGTATATTCCATGATTTTAATACTAAAGAACATTATTTGCCTGTCTTGTAGCATTAATAAAACGACTGTAATGGGGCCCTCGAATTACCAGAAGACATACAGGAAACTTGTTCACAGAACAAGTGCATGTTTTTATATCAAGACATTATGTAGCTTCATGTTCATCATACGTTCTGAAGATCTTATGGTGATCTTATAAACTGCATTCTCTCTTTCATAATGTAGAGTTCTTGGATCCCAAAGCAAAATACCGAAAGTTTCTTATAATCTTGGTCCAATAAAAGCAAATTTCCCAATTATCTCTCTAAATTCTCTCTATTAAACGCCTAAAAAATATTCAAAAAAATCGTACATCTAAAATTTTCCAGAATGTATACAATTACAGTTCGTATAACAATAACAATTTCACCTCCGCAGGCAGACAGCAGAAAGGGCAGCTAAAATACTAGTCATCTTAGTTCTGCAAGATACAGAAATAGTCATTCAATAAGCAAGATGAAAATCTCCTATCAATTTGCAACAACAAAACTTAAGAGAAATTCTTTTTTTAATAAAACCCTTACAGAAAATAGGGAAGATCTTTGTTGACCGGATCTCAGGAATTCCATTTTTGAAACCCCAGTTGCCAACAGCATTGATATTCTCTCCTACTTGAAGAGTTTCCTCTGGATGAATCAAACCAACCTTCAACAGACAAACAAAGTAGAATATCATACATTAGTAATAAAAATGACCAAATAAGAAGAAAGATAAAATGTTATTAAGCAAATTTAGGTTTTGCAAAGACTGAATTTATAGGGTACCCATAACAAAAAATTGTCTTAATTTCCTCAGAAAATGTACCAGAAACTTTAAGATCCATAACATCTGAACTTATAGGGCGCCTACAACGAAATTTTTTCATAATTTCTTGAATAAAAATATGAGGAACTTTAACAGGCACCACCTATTGATAGGATAAAGCAAAGGGTAATGGATGCTTAGAGTCAAATGAAAATTGAAGCAACTAAAATCTCACAGCATGCTCCTCCAAAATCAAAATAAAATGCTCCCAACTTGAAGCAAAAAAACTACAATTGTCAGATGAGTACTACAAAATATTGAATGGACGTGAAATATAATACGGAATTGACATGAATATCTATTGTAACTAAAGCAAAAAATGCTATAAGTAAACTGATATTGACAAAAAAGTACGCTTTGTTTGGTTCACTATTTTACACTTTCTAGAATAGCTTTTTGAAAAAAGTTCAATTTAAACATGGTTTTGGTTCATTATTTGAATATTATATTTGAATTAAATAAATTAATGAATAATTGTTTAATATATTTTTTTAAAAAGGATTTTAAGATAGAATATTTTGATATATATTATTTAAAATTTTTATTATTTGATTATTGAACTTTTCAATTCACATTTAAATAATATTGATTAGTTGTTTGGTAATTCTTTTATTACAAAATTAAAAACAATTTCTCCATAATAATTTCTACTACTAATATATCATTTAAAAACACGACATTAATAAATATCTAAATTAATAATACGAAGCTACTAATAATCATCTCTCAGAATTCTTTGTACCCCAATATTCAGTTGACAATACGACATGGACTCATGTTCTGCCCACATAGCAGTAGTTATGCTATCCTTGACCCTTCCCATGTCCTCTGTATTACGCTGAGTCAGTTGATTCGAACCAGTCCCATTTCCTTCCTCATAAACTCCATCGGCATTAAACTTTTGGAAGATAGGGTCGGTCATATCGAACCTTTTGATAAAATTATGAATCACACAACATGCCATAACAATTTTAGCTTGCTTCTCCAACGGGTAATTGTTCATGCCATCAAGAATGCAGAACCTTTTTTTTAAAACACCAAAGGTTCTCTCCACAACATTCTGAAGCGATGCATGTTTGTAATTAAACAACTCCATAGGTCTAGAAAGGTTACGACGCGCATCGGGAACATGATAAGGAACCCGTCTATGTGGGGCGAGGAACCCACCTCTGTTCGCATAACTTGCATCTACTAAGTAATATTTGCCTATAATAAAATACTGAATGTTATTTGAAGAATCATAAAAAAAAAATGTTTACAGTTTAGCTACAGTACATAAACAAGGTAGTTATACCTGGAGGAGGATGTGGGAAACCCAAATCAGGATCATCTAGAACTGAATTTAGAACCCTTGCGTCATGGGAAGATCCTTCCCAACCAGTGACGGCATATGTGAACAACATATTGAAGTCGCAGACGGCCATCACATTCTACGACAATACCCCTTTACGATTTCGATATTTATCAGCTACCTCAACTGGTGCTGACCCACGTACATGTGTACCATCAATCGCTCCAAGACAGTCCTGTCGACAAAATTGCATTTTAGTAATATGTGAAGACAAACAACAATTATGAAACAATGAACTGTACTATCAACTAATTAAAAATAATTAAGTACCTTAAAGAATGGGTAGTACTTTGGGTTGATCGATATCCCCAATGGAACATCAGTGAAGTCAGGTGGCTTGATAAAGTCTGACGTCAACTCCAATATCGCATCACAAACTGCATAGACATATCTAGAGAATGTCTCCCCGGAATGTTGGTAATCCTCCCTACAATCACTATTTGACGCATTTTTCTCAACTATTGTCAACAATATCATTACTTGTTCTTCAATACTCGTGTGTCTGATTACTCGCAGTTTGCCTCATTGTGCTAATATATAACATAAGGTTTGAAAACATTGTTTGCTCATGCGACACTTATTGTATATTCTTGTATGATGACCATTTTGTAGTTCCACCATATAATTGTGACCATTTAATGCAGATGTATGTATAGGTTGGCGTCCGTGCATGTTAAACTCCACTTCATATGCAATAACCCCACACAGTGCGACTGCAGCACGTATATATAACTGTATTTTCTCACTGTCATTATCTCGGTTATAGTTTGTATGGCTAGACCACGACATCTAAACCTGTCCATTGTAATAATTTGTTCATTAGTTCATACTTTTTTAATACTAACCAAAATATAATAACATTCAATTTTTTTTTTTATCAGTTGATCATATCCAACATATATGAACCATTGCACAACAACACATGGTGTATCGGTTCTTAAAACAAAGCAAGTTAAGTCTGTAAAGTAAATATAAAATATCTCAAATGTCAAGAGACTAAGTAAAGAGAAAAAAAAGGGAAAACTACAAGTTCAAAAAGGAAGTCAAACACTGTCATCTACATTCTACGGAAATCATTATAAACCCAAAATTCCCTTATCTAACTTTTTTATATTTCTTTATTTCATAAAATTTTTCGTTTCTTTTAACTTTTTTTTAATTAAAAATAAAAAATAATATAATTAATTAAAAACAATTTGAATAAACTAGAAAAAAAATCAAAATTTTGAATCCACTCCACTTCATATTCAAGCAACTCAAACGGCAACCCAAACAAAGCAATCCCACCACCATAAAACGCCATAAAAAACTCATTCAACACTTCCAATCAAAGAAATAATAGAACCATTCCATTCCATACAACAAACAATCAAACAAAAAATATTTAGAAAAACAAGAAATGTAAAGATCTTAAAGCATATGCTTTCTCTTACCTTCAGAGAGAAAAAAAGACATAGGAGAATAAGAAATTGATGACGATCGATGAAATTTGGGTGTTAGGAAATAAGAAATTGGTGAGGATGGATGACAAGGCATATGGGGTTTTAGCATCCACGTCCACAACAGCATAATCAGACTACATTGATGGCTAAAGTTATTAATTGCCAAGGCATGAAAAGTATTTGACGTAATATCTTTAAGATAGTATCCATTCTGACCCCTATAAAGGATTAGCCTCTCTTCTAAATCAGAAATGGCGTTTAGGTTGTCTGGAGGATTAATTACTCGATACGGCAATGCATTCTCATAAAATCTCCTCATATCATATACCCTTAATCTGCCATCACTCCCCCCAGTTGTAATGTAGGAAGTTGAACAAGCAATGGCCTTCAATGCTAAGTCACATACCTGATTTCTGATGACGGCTTGTCTATCCCTTAAATCGAAGACAGTTAGGAAGCCACTTGATGAACAAGCAAAAAGGATATTACGTGCAGAGCTCAAACTTGTAAGCTGGTGGTCAATATAACGCCTACCTTCGAATAACCTTTCAAGTATCTCAGTTTGGTTCACCTCAAAGTTCCAACTATATATAGAACCCCTACCATCACTGATCGCCAATGACTCACTAGACATAGGAGAATATGCATATACTTTCTCTTACCTTCAGAGAGAAAAAAAGACATAGGAGAATAAGAAATTGATGACGATCGATGACATTTGGGTGTTAGGAAATAAGAAATTGGTGAGGATGGATGACAAGGTATATTGGGTTTTAGATGTGACTGCTGTTGTTGTTGTGGAGGTTTTAGATGTGGCGTTTTTATGCGGTAGCGGTGGCGGTGGTGGTTGACTTTGTGGAGGCCGAGACAATTCCGACGAGATCCATGGAGCAATTCTTAGATAGCAAGCACTAGTTCCCAGTGGGACTTCATAAAAAGCAAACAAAGATAACATCGAAGAGAATGAAACGCACGTAGTGGTCATTATAGTGAAGGATTTTGGGGCGTGGATGGCTGAGGTTAGGGCACAGAAAGAAAATTGGGGTGGCGGTGGTGGGATGGGGAAGAAAGATAAAAGGGGGTTGGTTTTTTTTTAAGGGTTTAGGGTAAAAAACTTGAAAGGATTAGTTTGTTATATTGTTAAGTAGGATTGGGTGCGTTATTAACTTATTATAAGCTAGTATTTGAAAATTAAAAATACTTAAAAGGGGGGCGTTTGTTTTATTACTCCTTATCCTATTTTCAATCTTATTCCCAAAATGCATGTTTGTATAATTATTTGAAAAATACTATTTTATTTTTTTAATTACTTTTAGATTCTTTAAATTTATTAATTTAATTAAACACTCTTAAAAAAATTTAAAAATTAACAAAAACACCCTCATCCACCCATAATTGCCAGATTCCGGCAACCACCATCGACGATTGCCAAAATCTGTCACAACGGCATAAAAATGACCAGAATTGGTCGATAATTCACCGATTTGACCTTTTTCGGTCAAACCCACAGTGGATATAGCCGGAAAAGACTAGATCTGGCCGTCAGTGACGACCAAAACGACGGCCATTTCTTTGGTTGTCGCTGACGGCCAAATCTGGCCTTTTGCGACCGTTGACGGCTAGATCTAGCCGTAGATTTGGCCTTTTCCGGC